CCAAAAATCTCAAACATTCTACTTGTACAATGTAGGTAGCGCTGGACAATATGTTGATAAAATATTGCCATGAATATGATGTTTGTCATTTGACTAAAAAAAAATCAAAATTGCTTAAAAGTTTAAAAAAATTGATATAGGCGACATCATTTTTTAACCATTTTTCTCAACCCATATTTTCCAAAAAAATTCTGCCATTCGATTAATCAAACCGTAAAATGTACATGTAAAGGCAAGTATCAGATTATTTTAAATGTTAATTTGTACACATAACTTTTATTTCTTAAATAAAATACAGCCACATACCGTATATAATAGAAATTACATAATTTGAAGCCCAAACAACATGTACCGGTAAGTACTCTGGTACGTATACCGATAGCTCATTCATGTGCATGTATGTACTTGTATATGTTCAGTAGAGATGTCGTATCAAAGGCATTTTTATGATCAGGTCATATATCCCCGCTAATTAAGTCATATCCTTGAGGATGAGGTCATACAATATCTTTGTGAATTATTCATGTAATGCCCAAGAAATAGAAAGTTACCCTCTAGTTACATTTTCAGTTGCAATAGTGTGCACAGTGTTTGTGCAGATGTGTACATGGTACACATAATTTTTGTTTGCAGTGTGGAAAATGATGGACGCGTTGTTGAAGTTGAAGACACGTGTGTGTAATGTTTGTCTTATCTTTGGATCAGTGGTGCCTTGAAAAGCCGTCATACATGTAGTTTTATTCGATAAGCAGGTATTTACAGACTACCAGGCAGAGGTATCGTTTATATCAATGATATCTTGGCTGGTGACCTAATCCCTTAATTAAAGAAGTTTTGCTTAGCACCTCTTTGCAGAGAGAGAGCTGCTTCCAATTACCCTACGGTACCTACCCTATTTTGACAGCCCCTACCCTAATTTTTTTGGGGGGAAAATGAAGAAAAAAACCTGAAAACCATCCATTACGTACCTGTAGGTACCGGTAGTCAGGACACAGAGTAAATGAAAAAAAAGTAGGATGTTACACAGTTAATAGATTCAGGGTCCCCAAAATTTACTGTTTTCCCGTAAATTCTCGCAGGTTTGTGAGGTCAACTTGCAAGCTCTAAAATTATTTTATGAATTACCGGTACATGTATTTTCAATAATTGTAAAGTGCCTTTACGGTCTTTTTTGACAGAGTTTGGCTTATAGTGGTACAGAAAACTTTGATTATTATTATTATGACTGACTGTTCCCACACTTGAAATGCCTACATTGAATACTTAAGTTTGTTTATAATGAGTCCGAAGTTTATAGTCCTGATATGTCCTTGAGGTTTCTATGTGTATGTTGAGGATAGTGCTTCATGAAGGTCTAGTGAATTAGGAATAGTCTGGGATTGAGCTTATCCAGTCGGACAATTGACGAAATGTCATTCCAGAGCCTTCTTTATCAATAAGTGTTTCATGGAGGTCGTTTATGAACAATGATGGAAGTGAAAAGATCATGCAACCCTAGATCATTTTGAGCTCTAGATGGTGATGGCCACATTTTGTCCACAAAAAGTTCTGGTGTCTGCATATCGCATGGAAGCTACATTTATGGGCTTTTGATCTAACTGAATGATACATGTACCAGTACATGAACAAGAAAACAACAAATTGAGATTTCCCAACACACACATCAATGTTAGTGTTTAAGATTGGTCAATGGTCGATTTAAAGTTTTGGATGGTCATTTTGCTCAAGATTTGATGGGAATGTAAAATGCACACAAGTTATGTAAATTTTCATTTTTGATATGGCTGGATCTCCATTTCCGCCGTTTAAATTCTTCATTTCCGTTGTTTAAATCCCTCATTTCCCTTGAGATTGAATGAAACCTATAACCTGCAGACGTATGTTCGCATGCCATTGGGATTAAACATTGTTAATTTATGCACGAGAGACTTAACAACTGAAAAAGAAGGGCAACTGTACATGTACAGTCATATCCCTGATTGTGTAAATTGCAATTAGTGTCATTGTAGAATGTTATAAATTTTGGACTCTTAATCATCCACTATAGCGCGCGACCAAATTTAATTTCAATTGTGATGAAAAGTTTCCAAAAATGCCTCTGACATCTCAGCTCTCTCAGCTTAATTGCTGTCCAATCATGATCGGCTTGCGCGTCATGGAATCGTAATCGTCCTCTCTTTGCCGCCGGCTGCTTGGTTTCACACAGACTAGCCCCGTTAGCAGAGAACAGAAGAGGGAGCGGAAATCACTTGTCACAGTGGACGAGGGAACAAGTGTAACGCGGCCACACATCCTGGCGCAGTCGCATCGAGGGGTAATCAATCTGAAATAAAACGGCCGCGGCCCCAGTCCCGGCCCCGGCCCCAGCCCCGGCCGCGGAAACGAATCGTCGATTGCGATTCCGTCCGGATATCTGATTTCTATGAGTCGCTACATCCGGACCGGATCTTGTCATGGGTCTTTGAGATGTAATACACGGGACTGAATGAGCAGGCATTCATGCCCCGGCTCAATGTTGTTGATCACAGTGTAGCAGTGGTAATTTATAACAAGGTGGTAAGACAGCCACAAACATGACAAAAGGTATACGCTTGTTTCTGGCTGATCTTAAATATGTACGTATGCTTGTTTGCATTGCATCTGTACATATGTTTTAGAAACTATTTAATACTTGTTTTAACTGGTATTTCTTCCAGGTAATTAACATGCTCAGATGTGTATTTTTTTCAGTACATGTTTTGAATACAATAAAATATGTAGTTTTATTTAAAAACTGTGTTTAAACAGAAAACAAGTGGCTGCAAAGTGCGCCGCAGCACCTTGTAAACGTGCTACATAATGGGTCTCATATTTTCATCTACTTCATTTACCTGTCTCTAAAACATAGAGAGCGCTTTGAAACATCCGTAGAAAGCGCTATAAATGTAATATAAAAAATAGAGAGCGCTTTGAAACATCCGTAGAAAGCGCTATATAAATGTAATATTATAAAAATTAGAGAGCGCTTTGAAACATCCGTAGAAAGCGCTAGATATAAATGTTATGCACACATTTACAATGTGCATGGAATGCACTTACAATACATGTACCACATTTACAATGTACACTGCATGATGGAACAATACATGTACATGTGTGAAAACGGAAAACTGTCTTAAAATGCATGCCTTTAGTGATTCAAACATCGTTCAACACAGTAAGTACTTGTATCCTGTTGAAATGAGCATTAATGATGCGTATTTGTGCTTTTATATTTATATGAATGAAAGAAACAGGTCCTTTTGCACTTGTAGCGGTACTATGGATGACAGTTACATGGTCTTGTTCATATGGACAAAAAATTATACATGCATAACGGAAAACATCTCGCCACTAATGTCTCGCCTACATTTGCATATAAAATTTAACTGGTAACCATGGTAAGCTGCGAAGTCAGGTTTTACTCTGCTAAAAAATATAGTGCGTATGCCGGTTGATGTACGATACACTTGACCCTGGTTACCAATGTCAATCAGCAATAGGATGATGTATGTCAACATCCAGCAGAACTGGGTCATTTAGATCGCAGGAGATGCTGACTGATAAAGAAAAAGGAAGTTTGGCAATAGTGTTCTTCGGGTTTTAAAATTTTATTTAAAAACCCCTTTTTGAACAGAAAACAAGTGGTGGTATTGCTTACTGCACAGTGCACACCAGTCACAAAATTGGTAATATCTGCCTTAAAAAGACAAAAACTGTCAGGATTTTGAACATTGCTGATTGATGGAGACAAAGAGTTGTACCCCTCATCCCACTTGGATCACTGCCAAGATATAACAGAGAACCTGGATTACCCGTTCAATATCCTCAAGAATTTTCCATCCTTTGAAGGGACTGAAGAGAAAAAAAAATCATCCTCCTTCCAATCGGATGTCCCCACATTCAGTATCACAATGCCGGCGCTGTCAATAGCAAGACATTGTCAGCGTTCTTCCCCTAGTCAGCCGTCGGCACGGAGCTCAATTCATCGCCAGTTCCGCTCTCTTGCCATAAATGGAACCCAGTCACTCCAGCAAGCCCCTCGGGCCATTTCCTGGGCATTATCAATTTCTTTTTTGATTTTATTTCATCCCTACTCCTCCTCCACTTGTTTCCATCCATTCATCCCTTCTGGCTCGAAGGAACTTAGATATTTCCAACAGTTTCTACCCCCCCCCTCCTCCCTCCCACTTTTGCTCGGAGCGGTTGTACACGTTATTGAGAGGCCACAACACCCCCTGTGGATTCATGTATACATGCTTCTTCGTTTTTTTAATAATACATGTCGTTCGGCTCGAGACTTTGGTCAATGATTTTGGCAACGTGGGCGTTGAGCACTCCGTGTCCTTTGTGTCGGAGCGCTGTGTGTAGCAAATCCATGCTGTTTTGCTAAGATGTGTTTCCAGGCAGAGCTGTCGGAAGCCCTTAACATTTACATGAATGTGCTTCCTTGGTTCGGTTTCTCCTGTTTACAAGTTATTGATATTCTCTGAATCGTACTAATCTTGTGGCATTTCCAAGAACATTTTTCTGCATCTTGATTTAAAAAACAACAACTCACTTCTCCTTTAGTAAATATTTAGATTGTATTACATTTTATTTTATTTTGTAGTGTCATATATTGTACATAATATTCTGAGAGATGCATTAAAACGTATTTTACTTCCCATGTTTACTCGATGCTACATGAAAATACAAATTAACAATACAGTAACAAGACAAATTCTGTGTTTAAAATTTCAAAATTTCAGTATCATAGAAATATTTAATTTTAAAATTAAAATAGGCTGTTTTTTTTAATTAACCATACTTTTGTGTCTTGTCCACTATTTAAATTTGTGTTTGTAATTTCCCCGCCAAATTTTTCCCAAAATGAATCTGCTACACTAAGCCAACAATTTATGTTGACAGGGTAAACGTCCACCACAAATGCATCAAATTAATTTTCTTTATTATTTATATTTTTTCTTTGTCTCTTGTAGTCCAATATGCTTTGATATCATCGATGAAGCCCACATGACCAAGTGTGGCCATAGCTTTTGGTAAGTGCATGAAATATAAAAATGTAAATCAAGAAAATAATTCGAAAGAAATTGAGAAACAGTGCAGATCTGTTGAAATATTCTACAGTACGTTGAGGAAAAGGATGAAGTTTGCTTTTGTCAAAAATTTCTGGCTTGCCAGTGGTATGATTTGGTGTTTTTTTCCCCATTGTTTAAAGTGTTTGTGTAACTATTTGTTTAATGTTTTTGTTTCTTTTGAATTTGTGTGCAGTCACAAGTGCATCATCCAAAGCCTAGAGGAGAGCAACCGTTGTCCAAAGTGCAACTTTGCCATCGAGAAGAACGACCAGATATTCCCCAACTTTGCACGTGAGTCAGAACAACGACCGATTTTTAAATATGAATTTCCCATCCACATGGATATGTGCGCTGGGTTGAGAATTCCCTGGGCTGAGATTTGTCAGGATTTTTTTTTCTGATTTCAGGAATTTTTGGTCAGGATTCTTTCCTGATTTCAGGATTTTTTTGGTCAGGATTCTTTCCCGATATCAGATTTTTTGGCCCAGATTTTTCCTGATTTCACAATTTTTTTGTCTGGATTATTTCCTGATTTCAGGAATTTTTGGGTCGTTTTTTAACAAATCTCTATTGAAATCTGGAATTCCTGATTTTTTTACCTATAAAAGTTAATATAGAAGTAAAGAAATGGGTATTGTAGTAAAGGGATGCCTTTATACAAATTTCAACATATATCATAGACCCTACGTTGCTCTTGGGCCCTCGGCAACCTTCAAACGTACCTCTGCAGATTATCTGGAGGATTTTTCATTTTCCCCCAATCTATCCCCTGATTCCTGATGAAATGGTAAATCCTGCTCCACCCACACCCAAATTCCCAAGTTGGAAACTGGAGCTCCTAGAAATGGCATGTAGACATCTCGGAATATGAGCTGGTCGTGTTCCGTGTGTAGTCAACATTCAGGATGTCATCGGTGGACATTCTGTCTGCCTGCCTAGCATTTCATTCTTGTCGAGGGCGAGGCTACATGTGTGTGTATACAAGTGTTTCCTTTTCTGAAGGAAAATTTGAATGTCTGAGAGAATTTGAGCATTCACACCACTGGCATAGCCCAGCTTTGATGTTTTGAGTAAAAAAATAGCTTAGTTGCTAATATACAACAATAATAAATCCCGGTCATTTGATTGGTGGCTCATTGATCACATGTCGTTGAATTATTCGTCCCAACACATAGAAGTGCTATTCCACGGTAAATAGCAGTACTATTGCACAGTAACACGATTGGTGGCTCTGACCAATCAGATGACGAGGATTTATTCACGTTGTAATAAACAAATAATGAATGTTTCACATTCGTGCAATGGAAAGAATAATTTCATTCGGTGAGAGATGGAATGGAACTGTCAAATTGAAATAGAAATTATTCTTACCATTACACTCATAAACATTCATTATTTGTATAATAGAGCTAGCTCTTTTCTCCTATCAGTTACACGTGAATCTCTTATGTTTTGTGCAGATAAGAAATATCCAATTTGCAGGTTTATTTTCGTTTGAGGATGCCCATTTTTTTTATCAAGGATTTCAACTCTAATGCAACTTGTCTCTGTGACTTAAAGTAACATCCAGTGATTTCCAGAGCAACTGGCCCATAGTAAACAAAATTAAAAGGATCATCGTCCAAACTCACGTCCTTTTTACGGTCCTTATCAACATGAGCCACAAATAATTGGACGCAATTTCTGCAGAAGGTGGCTTAACAAGTTTGGAAGGAACGTTTATGGGTGGAAGCTTTGATTTTTTTGGTGAAGTGCGTATTTTCTGTCCAAAGCATAACAGCAGCTATCTGAAATGTGTCCTTGCTGCAGCTTCAAAGCGTCTTCCTGCAGTAATGTGGAGTCGGCCAAATTTATATTTTAGGCGCTGTAGCACCACCATTTGCTTACTGTATACATGTGGAACAAGGCCAATCAGATACATTGATAGTGTAATTTGCCACACTGCGCGTTCTTAAAGACGAGATGTGCGCACATTTTGGTAACCGTATTAGTTAAAGGAGCCCGGAGTGCATTATGGGCAATTCCACGGTTACTCATGTTACATTTTCGTTTCGTGAGTAACCGATTTTGAGCGTCTTGTTTTATCATACATAACACATTTTTCTGGATGTCATCTTTGGTGCTTAGGTAGGTCAAGGTTTACTCTATCTACCATGGGGATAACAGTTATTAAACCTTTTTAGTAAGGTAATTACAGCCCAAGGAAACTCAAAAGTACATCAAAAATGTAACGTGAGTAACCGTGGAATTGCCCACATGCATATTACCTGGAGGCGACTCGTGCAAGCCTGGTGCCACTGCAGAAAATGGCTGTCGTTGAATTAGTCTATATGGCATGTACATGTATGGACAAAAAAGAAAACAGAGATGTGGAGCCTAGTCTAATTAAATCCCTTTTATTCATTGTGTCGTATTTTGCAGTCTTGTCTGGTCATTGGTTAGGTACATACATGTATGTATTACAATGTACATACCGGGGGGTAATATGTAATTTCCTTGCAATTTACAAGAACCGGGTTCAAGTCCCTTCAGGGCCATTGCACGGCTATGCTGTCATGCGTGGTCTGAAGCATTCTTGAAATCTCTTGGCACTAAATTGCGTGGGTTGACTCAAGGAATAACAATATAGCTCTTTGGCATTTCTGTCTCCCTCCCACTCAGCCGCACGTCTCTCGTGTTCGTCGTTCCCCTCATGTGAATCCCGAACCGTTCTCTCACTGCCTAATTGGTTTTGCTTAGATTGAAATGGTGACATTTGATTTATTTATCTGTTGAAAGTTGTCAACGTTTCTGACGTGAAGTGTTAGCACTGAACTTGGGGAAGTGAAGAGTGAATGCTTGTACATGAATGAGGCGGATGTTATTGGGTGTACATGTGTTGTGTAAATGTATGCATACAATCACATACATTTGTACACACTGTACGTTATACATGTACGGTACAAATTTACATTTTTGGTTTGAGTATGGGCTTAAATTACCACTTTTACCATGACATACCGGTAGAACCCTGCCAATATTGATGTAACAACGACACAATATTTGTCTTATCCAGTAATAAAAACTGAATCAGAAAACTTCATGTACACAATGTTTATGTATGTACCGGCACATGTGTGTACAAACATGTGCATTTGTTTTTAGTATCATGGAACTTCTTAATCATACTACATGTACCGGTACATTGTATAAACATGTACAAATGTACACCTGTTTATGGTACTATGTTGAATGTTGTCAACATATGTGGTGTTAAGTGTTAGAGACCTCACCGTGGGGAAATAGAGAGTATTACATGTATATTCATGAATGTGGTGGGTGTTATTGAATGTACCGGTACATGTGTACATTATAACCACTTGAATACATGTATATATTCATTACTATGGAATATCTCAATCTACTTGCTTCAGGCCAATCAACTGTAAAGATAGAAATGCATTTAATGTTCATAAAAATGTTTACCTGTACAGGCAAATATGTCATAGACCATGGTGAACGATTTTAATCAGCAGGCGCTTTTTATATCGGGTCTTCGGTCATTCACCCATTGCGCATCATAGACATGGCTAAAAGAAAAACCTGTGTCCCGCGCTCTGTATCATGTTACGCGATATACATGTACGCCTGGCTGTTGTATTACAAAACACTGCATTTGAATTGACCAATCAAACCATTAGTCCTGAATTGGAATGAAATGACGTGGATAACGGGTGATACTCAGACTAGAAAATATCTGGAAATACTGGAAATTAATGAATTGAAAACCTCAAGATTTCCAATTAGCTGTTATGATTACACTTGAAGACTGTTAAAGTTAAAGGTATACGTGCATTGCTCTTTGATACATGTAAGATCATTTGCATTTCTCCCAAAAGTGATCAAATTTCCCAAAAAGCTTACTTAGATGAAAGACTGTACTGGTACTAAACACCCTGTGAAATTATTCCATCTGGCTTGCTGTCATTTAGAAGAAATCCAGAAACGTAGGTGATTTCCAATGATCAGTCAATCGACTGATCGTTGGAAATAATCATGATCAAGAGGTTGTGCATGTGTTATCTTTTTTTTTTCTTGAAAGATTTAATACCCACTGAGCTGCAACTTCACCAGTTTAGAATTTGAACCTTCTTTTGTATTTTGAGTGGTGTTATTATTGGAAACGAACAACATGCATCAAGTGCAAATGATCCTGCTTTTAATGTCAACATGCGTGCAACCTGATCATGTTCCACACACATTCCCCTAGATACAGAATGTCAGCACCTACAAGCATGTACATTTGACTTCATGTGAATGACAATTTGGGATGATAAGAAGTTATGTAGAACTTCAAACCTCTTGACACAGGAGAGTGTTCCGAGCTTATTGACTCGGTAAATGTTTGTGTGCTTGGACATGAACCGGTATGCGCTGGTCTCTGATTACAAAACATGTTACAATCTGAAGTCATTTCTTCAAACAAACGCAAAAGGTAACACACCACATTGCTTGTTCTAGCAAATACATAATATGGAATTTTTAAAGTCTATCATATGTTGCATTTGAAGTTTAGAATCACAAAAAAACCCAAAATTTCCCAAGCCCAACGAAATGCTACGCAACAGGAGGATATATGCACACGTACCGGTCACATGTATGTGTGTGTAGCGACTTACTTTTTTTAGTCATCAAGGTGTCGTTCCTTTTTGCTCTTCCTTTGGAGATGTTTGTCTTTAAAGGTTTTCAGTGAAATAAAACAAGCACATTCATCAAAATCTACTTGTATTTTTGAAACATTCCTACCAATTTATATATTTTTTGTGAAGGGAGTGCATAATTATGTACATGTATGTAACTTACTGTGTTTCCTTGAGCTCAGGTTCATCCGATCCCTACAATGATATTTTCTTACTTCTTTTTGCAGTGAATGAGTTGATCTTGAAATATAGGCAGAAATCGGACGAAAAACGGCTCAAGTTATCACCACCGGTAAGAGGCAGAGTTGCTTAACTGTAATTCCCTTCCCCCCCCCCCCTCTAAAAATTGACATGAATCACATAAGGCCTCTTACATGCGTGTCCATTTTGAAGTCAACATGGGTCCACTGTAAGCGTAACCAGTTCCCATCGAACATGGGTAGCCAAGGCGTGCCATTCACACTGAACCAGGTTGTTAACGGGTCGGCTGTAGATTTTGGATTTTCTACCCAGGCAGAGCCTCTCAACCCTAGTGTCCACCAGTATCGGTGCTCAAGGCGCTACATCACCCTGCTCATTGGGCCAATGAAACATTCCAAATACCATCTCAGCTCCCTGGGGAGTTACTGAGTATACAGCTCCATGCTGCCATTTTGACATAAAGCAGCTAAATTCAATCACACTATACCATCTCTGCCCCCGTGTGAAATCTCGGTGTTGGACCCTAGCGTGACAGGCAAAGAGTCATAGGCCTTGTCTTCTCCAACTGTTCATGGTGATGCTGGGACTACATTTGCTCATTTGCAGAGTACAGAGGCCGCTGCTTTAACTTGAAATCTTATTCAGCAGCTGCCTTTGAGGTGTGTTTTGTTGTATTAATTCAGTAACCCTTCTTTTGTTTGATCAGTCACAGACGGTCCAAAAAGTTGATCCTGTTCCCCTGCTGTGCTTTTACACAGGCTAGTCACCAACAGTCAGATCATATTTCTTGTAGGCACTGTGACAGTCAAATTCCATCAACAGACAAAAGCAGGTGACTGGTAGGCACAGCTGGCTTATCGATCTCTGACAATCAAAGCATAGCTATATCAGGTTTTATAACAATCACAGCCAGTCGATCCTGCTTTATGAAGGCAGGAAGCGCTCAACTGTTAGAGACAGTCACTTGATCCATTTTGACTGCTGGGCTGGCCTTGTTGAAATTGCTAGCCAGTGAGAAAGGGTTAACAATGAATGCACAATATGTCCACTCATGCGTACCCCTGTTGAACAAAAGCACTCACCTCAAAGATGGTTTCAGTGCAAACAGTCTATTGGTATCACTCGTCACTGGTTATGAGTTGATTTTTCGCTCAGCACGAAAATACGCTTAGCAAATATTTTGTCTTCAGCTGCACAAAATCGGCCCAGATCTTACAGCTCTGATAACCGCTAGTAATCTCTCTCGAAATCTGCTTACAGAATAGTCACATCAGCGAGCTGCAAGAGTTGATCACAGATCAAGACAAATGGGATCTAACGGAAGTCAACCTGATGCTGGAGGTGCTAGTCAGCAAGAAGAGACAGCTGGAGATGGTGAGACACACAGAACACATCCAGTTATCAATTGAAAGATGTTTATTTTCATTTCACAATTTACCCACTGAGAGTATATACTGTGGTTGTATTATTAACCCTAACTCCCTAGGCCTTTTTTGCTAGGATGTAGCCTCAACCCTGCAAAATCCTCCAATTGGCCTCATTGAGGCTATATTGCTTATAGCCTCAATCCTGCAAATTCCTCCATTATTTCTTGAATGTAGTCCGTGGAGGGGTGACCACTGCCTGAATCCTGCAAAATCCTCCCGGCTATGACTGTCAATAGGCTGAGGCAGAGGCAGTGACATCCTGGAGCAGTACGGAAGATTTCAAGTATAATCAAGGACTAAATTTATGCACAGCAGAGCATAAACAACACAAGGTCCGGCCCAAGACCTTGACATAGTGTGTCCTTCGAAATCACTTTTGCCATGTAACCTCAATCCTGCAAATTCCTCCATTTTGCAAAAAGGATTTTTGGAGGATTTGGGATGGTTAGGGTTAAGTAGTATGCTGTGTACTGTACATTGATGACTGCTAACACTTGCAAGTAAAGGATGGTGAAGTTGAGACAGATCTACTGATTGTAGTGGTTTGGGATTCCTAGCACTAAAAAAAAACTCATTAACCCTAACCCCCAAGGCCCTTTTGGCTAGGAGCCATCCTCAATCCTTCAAAATCCTCCAATTGCCACCATGTCAAAATTGGATTCGGCCTCAAATTCTACAGAATAATCCTGTATTTCTTGAATTTGTTCAGTGGAGGGGTGACGATTGCCTCAATCCTTCAAAATCCTCGTACAATCACTGCTAATGGGTTGCGGCTGTGCCGCTGACATTCAGAAGCAGTGGGAATGATATCAAGCATAATGCAGGGCTCTGCATTTAAACATGGCTGAACACAAACAACGCAGGGTGCAGCCTACGAACTTGATACAGTGCATCCTCCAGAATCAACCAACATTTTGCCATTCAGCCTCAATCCTCCAAAACTGCCTGGAGGATTTTGGAAAGATGGAGGAAGGTTAGGGTTAAACTTTGCCCTTTTTTCACTTTGCCTAATCATTACCTGTACTTGCATTCTCTGAGAACCTTCAAAATCCAAAGGAAATCTTGGTGGAGAAATTCTGATTTGAAACAAAAATGTTTTCATTATGTTACAGGACAGCTGGTTTACGCACAGTCAAATCCTGAAGGAGTTTTTAGAACACGCAAAAAGAAGGAAACAGGAGGTAGGAAATATTCTATCAATCAACTATTAAAGCTATAATCCATCATTTGCAGCCATCCGAAAAAGTAACTCGTGATTATTGATGAAAAACATACTTGGTTGAAAGATAGTAAGTGGACTAAACTCCCTGTGAAATTAATTTTTCTGGCAAGCTATCATTTTGAAGTAATCAACGAAAGAAGGCCTTTCCAACGTCTTAAGACGCACCGTAGGAAAATTTAAATTAGTAGTTCGTTTTGTTATTCGGCGCAGCACGCGCAAGCATTGGCAAGACGCACAGGCGCGTGCGGTTGCTATAATTCGTCGGATCAGTGCGCGACATCGGGTATATAGCTGCAATTTAAAACAATTCAAAACATGATTCAGCAACTTTTGATTTGAAATTGAGATCCTAGAATGCTGTTTTTCTCGGAATATACAGCTGAAGCTGAGCTGAAACTTCATCAGCTAAGTTGTGCAGTATCCTTCATTAAATTTTGAACACTTTTGTTGCTTCAAACGAACAAAATGCACAAATTACAAATGATGGACTATATCTTTAAACCGCAAATCAGCATGTTGGTGACATTTTTCCCAAGTACTAAATAAGGTGTAGGAAGTGTGGCCTAGAGGTTGGGGTTCGTGACTCATGATCAGAGGGTCAGGGGTTCGATCCCAGCTGCTGGTCAGATGTTGTGTCCTTGGGCAAGCCACTTCACCCCCACTTGCCTCTCTCCACCCAGGAGTATAAATGGGTACCGGCATTAGCTGCGGAGCAACCTGCGATGGACTAGCATCCCATCCGGGGGGGGGGGGGGGGGGTAGAAATGTTCTCAGTTGTTTCATGCTACTGAAACCGTAGATAAACGCTGGCCTGAGGGTCCACATTGGCTCATGACAAACTTTACATTATTACTAAATGAAGTAAAATATTGGCCACTAAATGCAGCAACCAGAGTGGTGACTGTGGTATAAATATTGATATTTTTACTTCAGTTAGAAATGTTGGTGTCATCTTCAGAAACCCAAGATGCAGATCTAAGTTACATAAAAAGTACTTTACTGGTCAACATTGCTTGCTTTCCAAAATTTAAATGGCCAAAAACGGGGGTTTTGGGACGGCTATATTGTTGCTGTCTCTAAGGTGTTTGTTTCATGTTCTTGGTGCATTGTGTGATAGCAATTAGATGAACTGACGACGCAGATGAGACTTCTAGAAGAGGACACCAAGAGAATTGAGGAGAGACTCGGCAAGCATCGAGAGGTCTACACATCTATGCTGTCTGTGAGTGCTAGCTCCCACCCCCACCCCCATCCCAATCCCCACCTCAACCCCAAACCCCATCGGAGCCCCCACCCCAACCCCCAACCCAACTCGACCACATGGGAACCCCAACCCCCATCCCAACCCCCAACCCCACTGGAACCCCCACCCCAACCCCCACCCCAACTCCCACCCCATCCCCCAACCCCCACCCCAACTCCCATCCCAACTCCCATCCCATTCCATCCCCACCCACACCCCCACCCACACCCCAAGCCACATGCCACCCCAACCCACCAGCTAAATTCAAGACTTCTGCTTTTAATCCAGTCTGTCTTTTTTTCATTCCATTCAGAGTTACCCCGTTGCACTCAACAGTGATGAGACGGTAGCTCCATCAACAAGGTAATTTACTCAAATCAACATGTTTTCCTTTTGACAGTGACACCACATGAGGACAACATTGAGAGGCTCAGTCTCAAGTGTTTTTCTCAGTTTTCTCTCCCTAGGTTTCTTCCGTATGTCCGGTCTGCAAGGGCGTCAATCGCTTCTCAAAAGTAGGGGGGGGGGGGATATACCTTGATCACACCCATGCAAGCACGGAGCGCGAAGCCTATTTGGTGTGGGGTTCGGGGCCCTTTAGCGGGCCCCGAAAAATGGTGGATTCTAGACGCTCTGTGGTGCGATCTGAGGAAATTTCTGACCACAAAAACCTAATTTTTTTTAGCAAAATATCATCTTTTAAACATCATTTTCGAGTTTGGAGTTATTGAATCAGCTATTCTGATCTATAGAATCATTATAGTAAGCTACAATTTTTATTCGGGGACGAATAAAGTGGGGGGGGGGGGGACTAACGATATGATATCGCCCATGCCGGTCTGATCGAACATTCATGCATTTTTTCAAGGCTGCCGTACTTCGGCCTGCCATCTGTCCTTAGCCATTTCCACTAAATCACCTTTGATCTATCTTCCTTTATCTAACAAGTACATGTACTAATGATCATTCTGTCAAACTCTCTAAAAGACTGAAACTTCCATATATAGGAACCATGGAGGATATATGAATGCTTATTGAGCTTTTGTGGTTTCAAGCCAACAGAAGAAACCATAATGGAAATAAAATTTAATAAAGGACCATTTGGTAGAATCGCCTGAGACACAATTCATATCCTGTTCCTGAAATAAGTCTGAAATTAGAAGGTTTCCTAATTAAGGACTTTAAAGCCATACCTGTGTATAGTGGGCTCAAGTTAGGGTTCCGCATGTTTGCTGATTTGCTGCTCCTGTTGAGTGGTTTCATGTATAGCTTCACTGGCTCTAATTGCGTCATTTCTGTCATTTGCTGATCAATTTAAAGGAATTTCATGTTCACTTCATATAAATGAGTCATACATGTACACAGACTAGTCTAGCCGCATACTCTTTCACTTTTTTTCCAATAGAAATATTCACAATCTTTCATGAGAAGTTTGAGATTTGCAAATTTTCATTGTAAAAATGTAATACATACATATATGTACCTCTGCATTTGAATATACTGGTCACAATTTTCTGAATATAAAGGATTCAATCTTTAGGCTGAACAAAAGGAAGTGAACTGTTTCCATGGTGATTTGTGAGTTGACAAGATTTAGAGCAAAAGTATTGTATTTTTGTCATTTCAGTCACGAACAACCAAAAATCAAACTAGAAAATCCCTCCAGAACAGATGGTCCGCAGGAAGGCTTCAACGGCAGCAAAAACGTGAGTTGTAATTATTGCTTGTTCCCCTGTCTCAGTTCCTGGTGTCTTTAGCTCACTCTTTGACAAAGTGGTACGGCACTTAAAAAAATAAATGCTTCCTCTTTAAAAAAGTAAGCATATTTTAATCCAACAAATTCTACTGATGACAAATATATTTTTAAATGTTGCGACCGAACATTATGTTGATTCTGTCCACATACAGGTTAGCATGTAAGGTGCTTTTAAGAAGTCCTTCATTCAATAATAATATTTCTTACATAATGTTCTTTGTTATGGAACTGTTATTTTATTAATTTCAAGTCATTTTTAAAAATGTTCAGGGTGGTCGACAGCAATGGTTAGACACAACGATAGCATCCAGAAGGAAACGACTGTACCATCACTTTGAGGACTTGGAGCAATGCTACTTCACCATCAGGCAAAGTGATGTAGCACCCAGTAAGTAAACAAGATCGATTGGAATATCTCGGAAGCTGCGGGCCATCACATTCGTGTTTATGCATGAGTCACGTGATTGTGTCATGTTTTTTCTGGAAGGGGTAGTGTTTTGAGTGAAAAAACAAACAAAGATAAAAAAACCAAAAAAAACCCACATTTGTTTTACCCCAGTGACCCATGATGACCTTTGACCCCAGTTTTGTCATGTGACATGGTGGGGCTGCGCTACTGATACTTTTGACAAAGTTCAGTTGAAATCGGTCAAAATACGTAGGAGCAATAGACAATGTCAACGTTCGTTACTAAGTAACTAACTAACGGACTAACGGAGAGACACGATGATTTGTTGAGATGCTGTCCCAAAGCAAATTTGATAACTCCCCATTTTCGGATTGCTCACTGTCAGTTTAAGAAAGAAATACAAAAGAAATGGCAATAAGTACCCATTCTTGCAGCAACTTTCCTGAATCCTCTGAAATTCACCACTTTGCAGGAATGCAGTATCTTGTTCTTTGTTCATCAGTATCCTCCGAAACCTTAAGGATTTTTGAGATCTTCAAGGGTATTCGCCCATTATTTTGTTGTCTTCATGGTTTCTCTTGTTGCCTTTCTGCTCAGACGAGAGTAGATCCAGTGACCAACTCAACCAGTTTACAGACAGCCTGTCTAAGTTCACACGGTACAGCTCCATCAGACCTCTAGCCACTCTCAGCTATGCAGACGTCTACAATGGATCCAGCATAGTCTCAAGGTAAGGTCACTCAAATCAGTCATCTTCAGTGTCAAATGTCTCAAAATTAAAGGTGCACGGGAACATTTACTTTTGTGCTTTTGTTGTTTTTATTTGAAGCAACAAAGTTGTTCAAAATCTTGAGAACGGTGCATAAGGCAAAAAAAAAAGTCCCCGGTTTCTGGTATGCGCGCGTGTCGCCGTAGCCATGCGCGTCGGTGAAATGAAAAAGTTTTTTTTTCAATGAAAGATGATGTCTCAAAACCGCCAAACTCACTGGTTTGACTGGAATCCTGCTGCTGCACAATTTTAACGTGTTTTTAGATGAGGTTATGATCGAGAATAAGCTTTATTTGGCCTCTCTGGACTCCCATAATATTTGCACTAAGTTTAGTCGGGCACCATTTGCAGTCATCAGCCGACATTTGAAGCAAAAAAAGCCGCGTTGCCGCACCACTTTCTGGGCAAGCTCCATACCAGAAACCGAAGACTTTTTGGGGGGCCTAACAAATAACTTGTTGAACTTTCAGTTCAGTGGATACTATACATCTTGAGAAAGCAGAGAAAACATACGCAGAAGTTCATAACTAGATTCTGTTATTAACGCATTAAAAAAAAATGTGCTTGCGGGCACATTTTCTTAATCCACCTTCAATGTTTGTTTTCTTCGGATTGAAACTATTTCAGGCGGGAAAATGTTACAGGGTATTTGGTACCAGTCCTATCCTCACTTTGAGCCAGGATTTTATTATTAAATCGGTAGGTATGTTTCTGGGTAATTGCAAATATTCCTACATGCCTTTAAGAAGACTTGAGGACCACGAGGTTATTTCCTAGCCAGGGTAGTTATCTGGACTAGTTTTTATTATTCAATGGAATTCTATTTTCTATATTTTTTTTTATGTTGTTTTTCTTTCACAGTATTGAATTTGACAAAGACAACGACTTTTTTGCAATAGCCGGCGTCACCAAGAAGATCAAAGTGTTTGAGTATAGCGCTGTGGTCATGGATGCCGTTGATATTCATTATCCTGCCCACGAGATGGTCTGTAACTCCAAGATTAGGTACGGTTTCAATAAATTTGGTTTTTCTTCCCAGGACAAAGAAATACCGGTTTCAGTTATTCACCCACTTCAAAAATTTTGTCTTGTTCCCTTGGTTGAACTTTGAAATTTTGGCCAAAAATACCACATGTACGCATCAAACCATTTTGTTATTGGAGTAACTTTTTTGCCAATTAATGGGGAGGCACCTGAAACATTTCCTTGAGTGTCAAATAAGGGATTAAGTTTTTCTACAGTTTGAAAATAACAAAGTACCATTAAGTATATTTTCCACAATTTGTGTGTGTTGGTACGCGGAAAAAAACTGGATTCAGTTATGGATTTTATCACCCAGCTAGAACAAAATTCTAGCCCCATTCATACATAGTGTTGATATTGAAGGGCTTGGCTACACAAATTTGTAAAAAAAAAGCAGACATACCAAGTAAATGGCCACCTGAATGGCCACCAATGTTACCACCAAAGTGGCTGAGAGGTAACTGATTTTGATTTTTTTTCATCCCGTTCAGTTGTGTATGTTGGAGTGCGTACCACAAGGGTATCTTAGCGAGCAGTGACTACGAAGGGACAGTCACGTTATGGGACGCGTTCTCAGCCTCCAAGGTCCGGTTATTTCAGGTGAGCTGATCATTCTCTCGCGATGTTCTTGTACCGAAACAATATATAACCTGTAAAAAGTCAATCATCCTCCACAATGTTTTTGTTCCAACAACATGAAACCTGTTATGCTGATCCTGATGACGTAGAATTCTAACTGATGACAGAAGAACCCCGTTGAGGCAGTTCTTTCATCAAATTAGGTTTTTGCCCTTCACCGACGTTTAAACACTGTATACTCAGTGTGTAACGTCCTGAGTGAAAGTTGGAAAAAATCACTCGGGTGGGACTCGAACCCACGACCTCCTGCTTTCTAGTGCAGATGTCTTACCACTCGACCACCGAGCTAACGGGACCGGTTGGCCGGTTCGAATCTGATGTACATAGCATCGGGTACCGCATAAACTATTATAAGATGGATAAGATTATAAGTTCTTTCATGTCATGTATTGAATCGTACCAAAACCAAGACATTCTTGTCCCAAAGTGAGTGTTCTGTTCTTTATCTTTGGTTATTTTGTCGGTTTTTCAGGAGCATGAGAAGCGTTGTTGGAGTGTTGATTTCAACAGGGTGGACCCTAAATTCATAGCGTCGGGTTCAGATGATGCCAAAGGTGAGATAAGATGTGATTTGCTCTAACGAGCTTATCAAAAGTTGTAAGGAACGTACACTTTAAGACAAGATAAGTTTGCGGTAGCACCATGTGAATTAATCTCTTTCGTGAGTATGTGTGGTTCTGAAAAGAACTGGAAACTTATCTTGTCTTAGTACCTTTCCACCATGCAAACCTTCAAATCTCAACGTACACTTTAAACCCTGAAGAAACCCAGAAAATATGACAATGAAAGAAAATTGAATTTTAGGTTGACAGTAAACCCAAGAACAATATTCCAGGTAAGATCAATAAAATCAGGCAGGGACTGAAAACTCTGTCAGCATGTCCGCCAGGGTCTTATTTGAACCCTGGTCAACAAGCTACACACACCAACCCCCTACTCTCCCTTATCTCCTCATTTTTTGGTCTCCAGTCAAGCTCTGGTCCACCAACCAGGAGCGTTCCGTGGCCTGCCTGGAGGCCAAGGCCAACGTCTGCTGCGTCAAGTTCAATCCTTCCAAGATGTACTCCTTAGCGTTTGGTTCGGCCGATCATTGCGTCCATTACTACGACCTGCGGTACCCCAAGCAGCCCCTCATGGTCTTCAAAGGACACAAGAAGGCAGTGTCATACACCAAGTTTGTCAACTCCGAGGAGATTGTCTCTGCGTAAGTTGTTTTTCAAATATGTTGTTGTTTTTCAAAGTTTATCTGAACTATTTCAATGGATTTTAAAAAACGTCAACTTGTCATTTGTTATTTAAGAGAAGCTTTAAAATGTTTGCTGTCTGCGTTGAATATGGGCATTTCTGTTCTAGCCTCTGAGATCACCGAAAGCTCAAAACCAGTTAGAAAGGTTTTTCTGAGAATGAGACCTTTGATTGGGAAGCTTTTGAATGTTTCTCGCAAGCCCTCCGACAACACTGAGTAAGCACTGTTTCTAAAAAATACGTCGGCGAGGGCAAAAACCCTTTTAAAATATCGTTGAGCGCTTCATATTTAACTGGGTTGACTGTTACCTGTTTTGCGAATCGGATGTCATAAACCAGGCTGTAATATGGAAAACAAATAAAAATTCAAATTCAAATACTACTTTTTCAAATGCTACTACTTTTTCAAATGCTTTTTACATCAAACAGTGACAGACAAACACTGGGTAATTTGTGACGCTTTCCACACATAATATTTAAAAAAAACGGTTCTGGTTAATAATAGCGGTGACATTTGTTTCATGAATCGTGTCCTCTCTCCTTTCTCCCCAGCTCTACAGACAGCCAGCTGAAGCTGTGGTCCGTGGACAAGCCCCACTGTCTGCGGACGTTCCGCGGTCACACCAACGACAAGAACTTTGTGGGCTTGACAGCAAATGACGACTATATAGCCTGCGGCAGTGAAAACAACTCTCTGTATCTGTACTACAAGGGCCTGTCCAAACAGCTGGTCACGTTCAAGTTTGACACGGTCAGGAGTGTTCTAGTGAGTAACGTGGGGTTATTATTACCCCTGCTCGTCAGGCCTTTAAAGAATATGGAGACTATGGCATCGCATTGTTCAGTATACCACCCTTGCTGTATAGTGGTTGCAGTGGTCTCAATGCACAAATGGTGCACGTTATGACCCATGAATTAGACAAGTTTAACAACCCGATGCAAAAAGAACTATTACTATTACCCCTTATTGTTGGGCCAGCAAAGTATTTCGGAGCAAATTTCAGCTCCCCTGAGAGTTTGGGCAACATTACTTCACAAAAATTATCTCAATTCCAAGTCTCCTTACCAATTTTTTTTTTTCAAAATAAGGATATCCAAGTTGCAAATGTAAACATCCTTGTTCTTTTGTTCTTTTGTTCTTTTTGTCTTTGCTGTTATAAAAGAAAGGGTTGCATTTCAATCTGTTGTTATCTTTCTTAATAGGACAAAGAGAAGAAGGAAGAAGATGCCAATGAGTTTGTCAGTGCCGTAGCCTGGAGAACGGTAAGTGACTGAAACATTGAAAACTGTTCCATTTATGCTGGGCTAGATAGAGTTTCAGCCTACAAAACTGTCCATGACACCGTGACTCACACAAAAGAAATAAACTGGTGGAGAGAACTGGCGGAGAGAAGACAGTGAAGAAATCTTCTTTTTCAAAACTGGCAGGGGAAAAAATGAGATGAATTTTCTGCGGGAGGATCTTAAAACCCAATCCACATGCCGGTCGGTCCGAGCTGGACGGTTACCTTGAGAGGAGATTCCGGAGGAAATGTAGCTTTAAAGTTTTTAAGCTATTTTTTTACAATTTTGTAATGAGTTTCTTCACTCCTTCTTTGGCAGGGTACTAACGTTCTAGTCGCAGCCAACAGCCAAGGTACCATCAAAGTACTGGAGTTAGTATGAGACACCCGACCTCCTCCTTCCGTGGGACTCTCTTCTATTCCAGTCTTCAAGCCTCGGACGGACCTTGAAACCCCACCCATATCAGTACACACAATGTTGATTTGTTTTGCTTTTTTAAAGTATGGATTCCAAATACATTTTGTCAATCGGCGCTTGAGGAGATCATTCAGTCTAGCCTGCGTTCATAGCTTCTCTTCTCTCAGTAATCAAAGTTGTTCCACATTTCTTTTCTGTGGATCAGTAACCATCTGGGTCATCTTATCAATTTGACATTTTCCAAGATGGCAATTTTAAAATGATCTCCAATCTTTAGTTTGCTCTGCCTAGTTTCCTCTGAAAGTGCATTTCAGAAGACGGTCCCTTGAAGGTGATTAAAAAGTTCTTTAGTTTTGAGATAATTCTTGAGAGTCAGAAATTCCTCCCTCTCTCTATTACTCAGAGTATTTTTGTGATGAGACCAAAAATAAGTTAATGTATTCATTTTTGATACGTATTTATTCACTGAAAAAAAGTCTGCGCAGAAGAGATACCCTTTACATATAAACTCAGTCGTTCTTATCTAAGAAAACATATCTAACATAATATTATTTGCTTTAAGTTATATTTAAAAAAAAATTAGTCAAAATGATTCAGACTGCTTAAGAAGGCATCACCTTGCTTTTTAGTTTGTTGTTTTTTACAGGTCATCAAAGTTTTATCCATTTTGAAAGTTGGCACAGTTGCTTACTACAGTGTATGTGAAAGCTTTTTGAGGTTAATGTAGCGAATAAAAGGGGAACCGGGTACCCGTTTGACATAAAACACAGGTACCCGGATACCCGTAAAAGAAACCCAACCTAACAATTCATATCCCGGAAGTTGTCTGAAGGGTTTTATAGCTTAACAGTGTAAACTTTCTTGAGCGTGATCTGCCATGTTAAAATGCACATAAATGTGACATCGGTTTTGGTTTTCCATGCAGCCTGGTTTTCATTTTGCAAATAAACCTTTTCGGAGTTCCAACTGCGCGCATTCGTAACCTGTTGCAACGCACATTGTTTGTCTCAAATGCCCTTTGACAGTACCCACAATGCACAAACAGCCTTTTTGTAAAGTCAGTGGCGCAATGATGTCAAAGGCCATTTGAGACAAACAATGCGCGTTGTCACAGGTTATGAATGCGCAGTTGGAACTCCGAAAAGGCTTATTCCCCACAAATGGCATTCACAACCTTTTGTTTTTATTGAGAAGTTATTGAGTAAATTGTAAAAGCTGGGTACAGATACCCGATCCCATAATCTAGAACCAGTTCCTGACTTCAGCGGTCGGGTACTCGGGTTTCCCCGGTTCCGATACACACTCCTAGTTTAATATAGTTTTCAAAAGTGCTTCCTTTCCACAAATTATACCTAATTCCCTCCACATTTTCGTTCACGCACTAACCAAAGATTACTTTTTGGTTTCTGTCGTGAGAATTTGGGAATACAGTAGATTGGTTTCTTTTTTTGTGAAACGGAAGTAAATGTTGAGCTGCCCAGTTGACACAAATTTCCTGATTCTTTGATAGAAGCGATTTTTTTTTTTTTTTTACAGTTTTCTGAAACAGCAAAGTGTTCTCTAAATGTCACAGTTTTTGTTTGAGGTTTGTTTTTTTTCTGTCCAAGAGGAAAGCAGTTACAAGTTGCGTCAGGAATGGTATCTATTTATACAAAGTGTGCAATGAAAGCTAGGAAAGGAAGGTGGATTTTGTTATGAAGGGGGAAAGGTTCAATACTTAATATATTTAAATTTATGCCAGTATATGCAAATGTATGTTTGAATTTTTTGTCTGGATTATTCAGCAATATCAGCGTATATTGCTATACCAAGAGACGTTTGATTCCAAGTTGACCTTAAATGTACCGGTACTCTTTTCCAAAAACCATAAAAGGTTTGAAAAGTATTTTTGGTTAAAACATATTCATTTAAAATACAGCTCCGTGTAATTGAGTTCAAATTCAGTCACTTGGTAAAATCTGGTGTTAAGAATGACATTCGCTAAACATGTCACGTTTTAGTAATTCTTTTCTTTAATTTACTGTCTCCAATAATTGCTCAATAACCTCTGGAAAAAGTAGCTAATATAGTGAAGTTGCCGGAGTCACGGTATTTTGCATGCCCCTGAAAGTTGTTCGCAATATTTTTTACCTGTTGTATTAATGATCGAAGCTCGGATGCATTTTACTCGATCAAATGTTGCCAAGGTTTGCGAACTTTTTGTGCATAGCCGCGAGGGGTATCGTTGGCAATATTTACTTTGTTCGCACAAGTAGAATGCACCCTGGCGTTAAAAGGTCCCACCAATTTTAGTGCTCCCAGCTAAGCTACTTTTTTCTTTTCTTTATTTAATCACTGAAAAGGGTCGAGATAAACTGAAAAGGGGCACATCAATATTTTTGTCCCGTTTTTGTTTTTGTTCAAATTGTACTGTACAGAATCGTTTGTATACAAATGTAATATTCTTGTATATATTGTATGATGATTGACCTCATGAAAATAAACAAAATAATTCTGAGGCACACTGATTTATTTGTTGCATGGTTTACTGTTTTTTAGTGTCAAAGATCATAGATAATGACCTCAAATTGAATTTTTGAATATTAAAATTTCATTTGGAAGTGGCGTGGGACATTAGTATTACCCTGATTTTTGCTGATAGTTAAAATAATGCGTCAAACTTATGGGGAAAAATTAGTCAACAAATAGTAATTTTCAAAATCCAAATCTTCAAAATTATGGGTGTTTGATAGATGATTGATGTTCCTCCTTCGTCCAAAGAGTTTTCTGTGTTTGGAGAAAAGTCCATTTTTAGCAACATTTCAGAAAAATGTAAGGTAAACCCCTTGCATTTTTTTTTTCAATTTTGGCCAAAAAATAATATTTCTTGAAATTTGCAGGGATGAGGCCAGACCACAGAATGCATTCCAACACTATTTATGGTCAGATGTGCTACTTCAAAAGAAAGATTGTGTTGAAAAATAGGGGGAAATTTAGTTTTAAAAATAGTAACTTTTCTCAATAAATTTATGATTTTTGCCCAAATCTTCAAAATTATGGGTGATTCATAGATGATTGATGTTCCTTCTTCGTCCAAAGGGTTTTCTATGTTGTTTGGAGAAAAGTCCATTTTTGGCAAAATTTCATGAAAAATGTAAGGTTAACCCCTTGCAATTTTTTTTTTTAAATTTCGGCCAAAAATAATATTTCTTGAAATTTGCAGAGATGATGTTTTTAGGACCCTAGAACACATTCTAAGTCGATTTATGATCAGATGTGCTACTTCAAAAGAAAAATTGCATTGAAAATTTGGGGGAAATTTAATCCAAAAAATAAGAAATTTTCTCAATAAATTGATGATTTTCCCCAAATCTACAAAATTATGGGTAATTCATAGATGATTGATGTTCCTCCTTCGTCCAAATAGTTTTCTGTGTTGTTTGGACAAAAGTCCATTTTTGGCCAAACTTCATGAAAAATGTAAGGTTAACCCCTTGCAATTCTTTTTTTCAATTTCGGCCAAAAATGATATTTCTTGAAATTTGCAGGGAGGATGCCTAAATGACCCTAGGACACATTCCAACTCGATTTATGATCAGATGTGCTACTTCACAAGAAAAATTGCATTGAAAATTTGGGAAAAATTTAGTCCAAAAATAGGAATTTTTCTCAATAAATTGATGATTTTTGCCCAAATCTTCAAAATTATGGGTAATGCATAGATGATTGATGTTCCTCCTTCGTCCAAATAGTTTTCTGTGTTGTTTGGAGAAAAGTCATTTTTTGGCAAAATTTCATGAAAAATGTAAGGTTAACCCCTTACAAATTTTTTTTTTTCAATTTCGGCCAAAAAATAATATTTCTTGAAATTTGCAGGGATGATGCCTTAATGAGTCTAGGAAACATTCCAACTCAATTTATGATCAGATGTGCTACTTCAAAAGAAAAAATTGCATTGAAAATTTGGGGGAAATTTAGTCCAAAAATAGGAACTTTTCTCAATAAATTGATGATTTTTGCCCAAATCTTCAAAATTATGGGTGATTCGTTGATGACTGATGTTTCGCCTTCATTCAAAGGGTTTTCAATGTTGTTTGGAGAAAAGTATATTTTGGCCAAATTTCATGAAAAATGTAAGGTTAACCCCTTGCAATTTTGTTCAAGTTTGGCCAAAAAATGAATTTTCCAGGGATGATGCCTAAATGACCCTAGACCACATTCTAACTCCATTTATGGTCAGATGAGCTACTTCAAAAGAACAAATTTTGGGGAAATTTATTCCAAAAATAGGAACATTTCTCAATAAATTGATGATTTTTGCCCAAATCTACAAAATTATGGGTAATTCATAGATGATTGATGTTCCTCCTTCGTCCAAATAGTTTTCTGTGTTGTTTGGACTAAAGTCAATTTTTGGCCAAATTTCATAAAAAATGTAAAGTAAAACCCCTTGCATACTTTTCAATTTTGGTCAAAAAATGATTTTTCTTGAAATTTGCAGAGATGATGTCTTAAGGACCCTAGAACACATTCTAACTCGATTTATGATCAGATGTGCTACTTCAAAAGAAAAATTGCATTGAAAATTTGGGGAAAATTTAGTCCAAAAATAGGAATTTTTCTTAATAAATTGATGATTTTTTCCCAAATCTACAAAATTATGGGTAATTCATAAATGATTGATGTTCTTCCTTCGTCCAAAGGGTTTTCTACGTTGTTTGGAGAAAAGTAAATTTTTAGCAACATTTCAGAAAAAAGTAAGGTTAACCCCCTTGAATTTTTTTCTCTTCAATTTCGGCCAAAAATGATATTTCTTGAAATTTGCAGAGATGATGTCTAACGGACCCTAGAACACATTCTAAGTCGATTTATGATCAGATGTGCTACTTCAAAAGAAAAATTGCATTGAAAATTTGGGGGAAATTTAGTCAAAATAATAAGAAATGTTCTCAATACATTGATGATTTTTTCCCCAAATCTACAAAATTATGGGTAATTCATAGATGATTGATGTTCCTCCTTCGTCCAAATAGTTTTCTGTGTTGTTTGGACAAAAGTCCAGTTTTGGCCAAACTTCATGAAAAATGTAAGGTTAACCCCTTGCAATTCTTTTTTTCAATTTCGGCCAAAAATGATATTTCTTGAAATTTGCAGGGAGGATGCCTAAATGACCCTAGGACACATTCCAACTCGATTTATGATCAGATGTGCTACTTCACAAGAAAAATTGCATTGAAAATTTGGGGAAAATGTAGTCCAAAAATAGGAACTTTTCTCAATAAATTGATGATTTTTGCCCAAATCTTCAAAATTACGGGTGATTCGTTGATGACTGATGTTCCTCCTTCGTCCAAAGGGTTTTCTATGTTGTTTGGAGAAAAGTCATTTTTTGGCCAAATTTCATGAAAAATGTAAGGTCAACCCCTTGCAATTGTTTTCAAGTTTGGCCAAAAAATGAATTTTACAGGGATGATGCCTAAATGACCCTAGACCACATTCTAACTCGAGTCTTTGAAACACATCTTGAATATTTAAAGAAAAACAAAAAAAAGATTTTTTTTTTTTTAAATCCATTCTTTAGACCAAAATCGGAAAAACAATGGGTGCATTTGAAACATACCCCCCCCAAAAAAAAGGTCATTGAAAACGTGCGTACATACACAAATATTTATACAAGAATACATGAAAAACGTAAGTGTATCGAATGGCTTGCTCATTTATTGGTGTCATAAATTGCACACACAAAAATCTGGGTTTTTAAATCATTAATTTTCCAGTACAATATCATATTGAACATATTCAACAGATTACAGTACAGTACTTTTTACAACACCAACAGATTTCTGACCCAACAAATCAGCCTAAAAAAGTCAGGTTGAATTTGCCTTCACAATCGTGATCAGTAAAAGTAACAATTGTTTTTATAAAAACTGAAATTTATTTCAAAGTTTGCAGGGAAGACAGAAATATGTTTTTTTTTATAACATATTTTCCTTGCTCAAGATTAACTGATAAAATTAATTTTATGGATAATTTTGCTGTCAGTATATAAAAAAACTGGTCCTAGATTGTAATCAAAGAAATGATTACTGTAGTGCTCAACATCAGGACTTTATATGCAGAAATATATAATTTTATTTACAAATATCAACATTCATTTCTTCATTTTTTCGTCTCCACCCTCTACAATCTCGAATAATGCTTGGAGAAAATTTAGACAGATTTGGGATGAGGAACAATGTGCATTAAACAAAAAATGAATAAAAGTTAATATTTGTGTAATTCATTCCTTTCTTCATTCTGTAACTGTTGGAAGGAAAGGGGAGTAGAATATAGTACAAAATCTAAATACCTTATTATTAATTTATTTCTGTAAAATGACACTTACTGAGTGACATGAGCACAACTTGATATCATTTTGACTACGCAGACCTCTTATATTGTGGAAACTACACAGAATATATTAACTCAATACTTTGAATCCATTTTTTTACCGTCAAATTTGATTTGCTGACATAAACGTCCCACTATCTTTGGTATTCCTTGAGTTAGTCCATCACAAATTTTCAAATTTTTGATATATTTGTGAGTGGCCTTACTTTTATAATGTTATCACTCTCCGCAAATCAAGCCCAACCTCAGCTGCATTTAGACACATGAAATTTCAGGCTGTGATATTCGAACAAAACAAAGAAAATGTCTGCAAAGTAACGAAGGCTTCAACCTTTATGTTCAGAATTCATGCACCTTTCAGTTAATTGTGATACATGAGTTGGTTTTGTTAATCAATACGGGTTACTGTTAATTTAGAATTTAAAATAGCGATACATTTCAAGACGGGTGAAATAATAAAAGATTACTTTGATTTCTGGCCTGCTAAAAACCAGTTTCTTTTGAATTACAACAAGAAAGAAATGGTACATAAGTTGGGAGGAATTTTGATCAAATTTCTGATAATAATTCAGCACACCAGATGAACATTTTACGATGAAGTCGTGGCAACTGCTGTGGCACTGGCCACTGTGGAAGCCTAAACTGTAACCAGAATAGCCACTATTATGGCCATATTCACCAATGTAGTGATCAAAATAGTGGCTAGTGGCTAGCCAATAATTGTAGCCACATAATCATGACTGTGGCTACAGTAGCCACTTTGGTAGCCAACATAGCCACTGTGGCAGCCACATAGTTACTTGTATTTCTTTCACTTTAAAGGGAATATACATCATTTGCTTTTACTGTAATTTTCAGAAATGGATGGAATTGGGGGGTTGGAAATATATAGCAAATATAGTTACACTGACTTTTTTGAGGTTTTGGGTTCGAAAATGCTATAAAAACCAAGAAAAACAATCATTTTCCTGTAGTCTGGTTCCCTGACTCCATATAAAAAGAAACAGAGCAGTTTACATACATTGGGGAATTGTAAGGTCAGGGAACCAGTCTAGCTGGCTCGTACCCGTTCATAGGTTTGTAATCGATTGCGAACAAGTGCGATGGTCAATTGGGGCCAGTATTTGAAAAAAAAATTTTTTTCCAACGCTGATCGGCCGATCAGCGGCTGATCAGCGTTGGAAATTGATACAAAAATACCACTTTTCTTGAAAATGACAGTATACCAGGTGCCATGATTTTACAGGATGCTTTACACTGTCATTCACTAACACTCCAGCAAGGTATTTCAAAATGATTTGGTAGTTTTATTTTTTGATGTTTGCAAATGTTGTATTTCCCTTTAAGTGGCCACTCTGGTGGCCATATTAGCCGTTTGGATGTTAAAACATAATCTTAGAAATCAACATGCAGTATATTGGATAGAGGCCAACACTAACATGGTAGATAATAAAAACAGGGGCCATTTTTTGTTGTTGAAGACATCCAGTGGCCAGAAAACTCCTCAGTACGTGAGTTGGGTTGTCTTTATTTCTTACTGGTCAGCCAGTCTAGGTCATCATCATCATCATCAGATCCAAAGAGAGGTGGAGGGGCATTCAACTTGAGGGACTGACAAAGAAAAAGCAGAAAGGAAAAAGAAAAATAATCATAAAAATTTACCCTCAACCTATTTGACACCTGAAAACTTTTTGATATTTGCCATACATGTATTAAACTTTAAATGTATGCATATCATATAATCCCACACACTGACATGGTAAGACACGTTAGCACCACATTATACCATAGATTGTGCCAGGACATGCCGTACACTGTGGCATGCCTATAGACCTTTATCATGCTGCCACCATTTCAGTCATGTTCCCTTTATCCAATATTGGTACTGAATTATAATGATTTTGTGCAAAGAGGAACCAGACTATTTTTCCTTCCAGCCTCGCTTTGGTTACATTGATGTGAATGGGGAAAAAATCAAGATGGCGGGAACATGATAATGGCCTATACGGTGGTTGTACAGTGGACTACTGCAAATTATTGTGACACAGTTTCTTAATTTCACTATGGCTGTAAATATCTCATACACGCGTGTGGGTAAACTGGTTTTGACCATTTTCTGTAAATTGCCGTCATTATTATTTTCAGTGCCGTTTTCACCATATGCCACCAAGATCTTGTAGTTTACGGTAGGAACATCTTAAAACTATTTCAAAATGTCTCCCCAAATTTGAGAAATCTGCATCTGAAAAAGTGTTAAAAAAATTGTTTGACCACCCTGTACTGTAAACGCAACCCAAATCCCAAGGCATATAGGTGCCAACTTTCCTGACGCCAAATTCTTTTAATTTTACACTTTTAACTCTCCACCCAATGTGAGTTAACAGTGGATGGGGCAATACTTCCTTCAATCCTACAAAATTCTTCAAATCTTTTGGTCCGATTTTTAAAGGATCTGATATGGTTATGGTCAAGGAAGGCGTCTTAAGACTTACATCACCGAAGTCTGCTTCTTTGGCTTCTTTCTTGTCTGTTGGTTTGGTGGTGGAGGTTTTCTTGATGAGTTCCTTCCTCTTTGTGGGAGGCGTGGAGAAAAATTCATCCTCGTCATCATCGTCATCACCGAAGATGTCATCCCTGACAAAATAAATCAAGAAATACAAATGTAAAAGCAATCACGCCACAACAATACGAGTGGCATTTCTTTGAAAGCCTACAATAGATGACTTTGTTAGAAATTTGTGTGATCACCACTCTATAGATGCATGAATTGGGTATATCACAATGTTAACTTATTAGGGGAATGTCTAAACTCTAAAGAGAGGGGAAACATTAAAGGGACTGAGGGACCAACGTTTTCAAATTTCAATTTTTTTTTAATCTTTTTTTATTTTTTATTATTATTTTTATCTTTTCTTCAAAAAATGTGGGTGGGTGGGACGAGGAAAGTACTTGAAAACCGAAATTCACTTATCAATTAATAAAAAAAAGTTTGGAATTGCATTGAGTAACAAGTCATTTTTTTAAGATCAAAAGTAGGGGTGGGTAGGTGGGTCAAAACATTTTGAAAAAAAAAATTAAAAAGCGAAATTTAAAAACATTGATAATTTTCAATGGCCCCAACAGAGTGACTCAGGGTGGCCTCAAGAAAATCCCACACTTTTCCCAAGATTATAATACTCTCCACAATGATATTGATATCTTGCTTTTAGTCAAAGCCAAGTTGACAGATATATAAGGTATATTTTCTCTCAACAGTGTCTATCTTCTCTATAAAACACTATTGAACTTATTCATTTGAACGAAACTGAGCTCCGCCTTTTGGTTTCAAAGAGCACAATGTTCAGAATATGGATACATGTTATACAAATGTGTCCATATGATGTACCCTTGTTTTGCTTTAATAGCATACTGCCCTCTATGGTTCTCGCACATAGCTGATAAAAATCTGATTGCCACGGAAACATCAAGATCTTACATGGCACTCTTGGCTTTTGGCTCCTCTTCGTCTTCTGGAGGGAGCTCGGGAGGAAGGCTGGGCAGAAACGGTGGGGGAGACGCTGCAGGGGGTGGGGCAGTCTCAGGGGTTGTGTCATCTGGTGTGGTCGCATCCTGGGGGGTGAAGTCCGGTAGATCATCCATGGTGTCCTGGGGTGGCATATCAGGGACCTGGTGAGGGAGCAAAATAGGGAAGTTGAGGGTATCTGGCATAAGTTCATCCTGGAAAACTGGTTTGCACGATATCATTTTTATCAGGGAAACATGAAAGTTAATATTCAGATTTCCCCTTCACCGTGTACTCAGTGTCACCCAAGAACACAAATGAACTAGTTTCTCGCAAGATCTCTCAGACATAGTAAGACTGGTACTTATATAATTACTTCAAACACATCAATGACCAATATAAAAATGACCCACTTTATCTAAATGAAGTGAAATCAGCCAAGTTTTTCATACTGGTAGACAATCAATTGTTTACTCACCTCAGCTTTCACCTCAGCTGCTTGTTCTTCATCTTGGTCAGCTGTCTTCTCTTCTGCTTCTTTGTCTTCTTCTCCATCCTCTTCTTTGTTTTCTTCTCCATCCTCATCAGATGGAGGCAGCTCGGGCGGGGCCTCTGGAGGCAGCTCGGGCAGGGCCTCTGGGGGCATTTCGGGCGGGAGACTTGTTGGCCCGTCAACATCCTCCTCATCCTCTGGTTGCTGGGGAGACGGGGATGGTTTCGTTTCCGTGGTGACCGCATCGCCCTCATCCTGGTCATCTTCTGGCTCTGCCTCCTTGGTTGCCGTAGCAACCTCGGCTCCATCCTCTTCTGGGATGTTCTTCTCATCGTTTTCATCATCTTCGTTTTCATCATCTTCACTGTCGCTTTCTTCGACGTGGGGCTCAACGGTTGGGACATCAGGAAGGTCTGGGATGTCTTCTGCTTCATCTGGTGCCGGGGCTGGAATGGAGGGTGGTTGGGTGGAGGGAGGGTCGGAAGGGGGTGGGGAAGAGGGTGAGGCAGAGGGTGGGGCAGAAGCTTGGGCTGCTTCCTTGACTGGAGGGGTAGGCTTTTTAGGCGACTCTTTAGCTTGATGGACCGGTGTCTGCTCTTCTGTGAACAGAAACCAATTGAAAAAAAGGTTCAAACACCAAAGCTTTGAAACCTAAGAAAACTCATGGAGCTTGTTTTGGGTAGAACTCGACCCTACAACCTCCTGGTTGGCTGGCTGGTTCAAATCAACGGTATAATTGACAAAAAACTTTGTCATGATTTCATACCTTCCTCATTTTCCTCTTCAGTATCGTCTTCTTCTTCTTCGCTGTCTTCTTCCTCTTCCTCTTCCTCTTCCTCTTCTTCTTCTTCCTCCTCCTCCTCCTCTTCTTCTTCTTCTTCTTCCTCTTCCTCTTCTGTGCTGCCTCCTGTTGACCTTTTGACAAGTTTCAGGGTCACCAGCTGCGACAACAAAATGAGGAAATGTTAACGTCAAAATCAGGTACCCGCAGTTCCTACCAAAGTTTTCTTGAAGTGGCACTCAGCCTCATTAGGCAAAGGCACATTTTTGTTTGTATTTGATGCAGTGAGGGTTGGTCATAGATTCGAAGTCTGCAATTTATTTATTGGAAAAAAATCATGATCAAGATGTCATCGTGCAAATTTTGGGTGGCAGAAATAAAAATAAAATTTATCTAGCCTGGGACATGCTTGAAGTAGATTTGGTGCAGGAAATGAATGCATTTTTATTCTTTTTTTTCAACTGGAATGACTTTTGTGTGATATGATGAAGTTCCAACTAATGCTATTCAAAATGCAAAACACATGCGATATGTGACACTTGCCACTGTAGAAAAAAAGTACATTCAAATTCTTATGTGTTTTTTTCTGCCTACACCTGTTAAGTTAAATTTCGATACCAAAATCATTTCATCGTGCAAATTGAAATTGTCAGGCAAAAATATTCATAACATTGTTAAATTTCAATTTCTAAAAGCATTCAGCCTGCTGTGGTTTACTGAAACATTCCATAATCGATATCATGCATTTATGACAAGCATGTGTGGATCGTAGCAAAGTTACTTACACAGTGGACAGGTATTACAAAAACAAGTCATCACCTAAACACTGTGCCTAGTGCCTCACAGATTGAAGGTTAGTCAAAATATAGTCAAATATAGTCAAAAATAAGAGATGCGATTGACCATGGCGCGCAGAAAATCCACACACTTGTTTATCTAACAGAAAGTCAAAATTATCGAAGCCTTTGACAGAGTCTAGCAGAATCTTTCTCAGAGGCAAAATTATTAACTGAAACTTGTACACGATGTCATGACATTTTCCTCTTCAACTATAAAGGCCAATTTTGGACCAAACAGACTTTCTTTGGACAAAGTTAATTATTATTATTATTAAAGTTAATGGTGAGTTCGTTTATAATAACTTGTAAACCTCCCGCTTCAGAATTTCCAAAACTATTTCATTGACTTATATCATTTATTGCAAAAATTCAGAGAATGGAAAAAAAAATCAGCCAGTACATTATACAGCACTATTTCAGACCATGCAGTTCTGATTAAAGAAAAAAATGTGGAAGACTAAATGTCAAATTTTTACACAAAAAACCCATTCTGTTCACAAAACTAAGGCCTTATACATAGACAGATGAAACTTGATTCTTATTGTTTCACAAGTTAAGAGTCTGATTCTAGTTTGGAAGAGTTGCAACTTGCAAAGACGACAAAGTTTACTAAGCACCAACATGCTGGCTTGAAAGAAACAGGTCATATGGCGCAATGCCATGTGAATTGTTAAAGCCAGAGTCCATCATTTGCAGCTATCCAAAAAGTAGCTTGCGTAATTATTGTTAAAAAACATACTTGGTTCAAAGTAAGGACACTAAACTCCCTGTGAAATTATTCTTTCTGGCAAGCTGTAATTTTGAAGAAATCAGCAAAAGCAGGCCTTTCCAACGGTGCTTCTTAAGAAGCACCATAGGAAATTCAAATTAGTAGCTCGTTTTGTTATTCGGCGAAGCGCAAGCAAGCATTAGCACGATGCACACGCGGTTGCTATAATTCGTCGGATCAGTGCGCGACATCGCGTAGCTGCAATCGGCTCAGTGAGAACGTGTCTCGGACGCTGAATTCAGGCCCAATTCAAAACATGATTCAGCAACTTTTGATGTGAAATCGAGATATTTTTCTCAAAATATACAGCTAAAGCTGTGCTGAAACTTCATCAGGTTAGTTGTTCAGCACCCTTCTTTAGATCTTGAGCACTTTTGTTGCTTCAAATGAACAAAATGCACAAATAACATATGATGGACTATCCCTTTAAATGAGTAGTTCCTAGCTGAGTATTAACACTTTATGTAGTTAGTGCATTTGTAATAGTAGTACAAAGTGCCAGAAAAAAGGGTATTGTTAAACCTCTTAACAAGCGTTTGTGGGTTTTTCTAAATATTCAGGGTCCAATGAGTGACATTTTTTCCTGTCCCTGTTACCTTGGTACTTTGTAATTTGCCATTCAAGGATCATTACCTTAGATCTTTCTTATTTCTTCCTAATTATAAAGTGCTTTTTATATTGAATGTTTACTAGTTTAAAAGTTTTTCATTGTAATGCCATTTCAATTCAGCTTTTGGGCTGCGAAAGTGGCTTTATAAACCAGAATAATAATAATAGTAATAACTTAGAACAATTTTTTTTTTATGTTGGCTAGGTAGTTTGCTATTCATAATCACTCTTGGAGTATGACTGCATTAAGGAGTGCATCAGAATTATAGAATCAGAGATGTCAGATGTAACAGGGACAGGAAAAAAAGGGGACCCCAAATTTAGAAAATGACCCGTGTGCTAATAATTTGTGCTCATCTACTTTGGCAGACATTTTGTGGGGATGACATTTTACTAAAAAACTGACCCAAAATCTGATTAAGTTGGCTTATATGCATGTAAAACATTCTCATATATATGTAATAGCTTTCATTCAAATGGATTTACAGAGTAGCACAGACATTGTTACGTACACATATATACCTTCAAATTTGCTATTATGATGCAAATACATATATCTACAAAATACATAGATTCGAGAAGCTCTCAGCATGGCCAACTATTAAAAGATAAATATTGAAAGGTTTTAATATGAGTTTCCAGCTCATTCAAACCTTTCAAAATCATTTTGTGCTTGGTAGACAGCGCCATCCGCTAAAATACAACTGTACAATCTTTTAGTTGTTTTTTATTTTCAGAGCAGTTTCCAAGAAAAAAAATCGGAAATGTGAAGTTTAAACATGCCTTTTTAAAACTGCATTGCTTATAAAACAAATTGACAGATTAAAAAAGATTATTTTTATCAGAACATTTTAACTGCTCCAGTCAAGAATATCATTTTCATAAACATTTCAGTTGGAACATGACAAACCATGCAAATAATTTGTTGATTCCAATTTGCATCACAAAAATCTTTGCATGAAATTTTGGCAAGTTGCTCTCAATACAGATAGATGAAAACACCAGAGCATTTTTGCCTGCAAAAACTCCCGTTGATAACGTTTGTTTTTTTTCTCCAAAATGTTAACTGAGGGCAGATTAACAAATCAGGATTTCAATTTCAGGGACACTCTTTTTTAATATACTTGTTTAAATAAGACTAAAATCTGAGAATGGCTCCTTGTCATTTGACAATTCTTTTGTAAAATTTTCTCTCAACTCTTGTTTTGTAAAGAGTGATGAAACTGACGAAACAACAAAATAGATTAACATTCCAAACACTGAACACCCAAACACTGGTAAACTTATTCCAATGCACTCCCCCCCCCCCCCCCCCCCCCATTAAAGAAAAAAAGAGAAGGAAAAAATCTTCTTTTGACAAATCTGACCTGGTAAGTCAACTGAAACCACACATCAAGGACTAATTTGGGTTTTAATGAGCAGAAATCAAATACAATTACACTAAATAAGCGAGTTCGGTAATCCAAAATAGTCTGGTGCACAGCAAGATTCGACAACTTTTTTCGGGATAACTGCGGCAGATAAATGCACACAAGGCTACGGGGACATGGTAACCAAATCTGCATTCTGTACAATTTTTTGTGCAATCGAAAAGAGATGGAACTTTCGTTCGCACAAAAGTTTTGACACACAAGACACCTAAAATCACTTGGCTGTCCATAGATTTTTGCAAAATGTTATACTTCAGAACACGATGATCTCGTCAATTTTGTTGGTACCCCGCTATGCTTTTGCATGCATACGATGAAATTTTTATCCCGAAAGAAAAATCGGCAAATCTTGATGTGCACAAGTGCAGTTGGAATACTCAACTCGCTTATTGGCTTGCTCTTAAAACGTTGACAGTATATTATCACAAATTACACACAGAGTTAGGAATTGTACCCCAAGGGCAATGATTGAATGACTCAGCAGAGGGGAGATTGATTGATTCAGCAGAAGTCTGAAGAATGAGGAGTTTATTTGCCGCATTTGTTGACGCTCACCTTGATGGTGTTCATGATGGTGTTCAGGATGTCCGCTCCTTTGTAGTTACCTCCAGGTTCAAACTCGCTGCGTAGCGTGTGGTAAACGCTGTTCATTATCTTCTTGACCTAAAGGATAGAAAAGCCCACAACATTTTAATTAAAAAATGTATTAAGATCGTAATTTACACGCTAAACTTTGATGTCACTTCATGTATTTACTTAGGCATGTAAATGAGAAGTAACAAATAAAGAATAAATTCCAAGCTTTACCAGATTGCATGCAGTGTCTTTCAATTTTTAACGGCATAAATATGAAGTGAAAAACAAGGAAATCAGCTTATCCGAGGAAAATTACATGCCTGATTTACTGCATGCACTGCTATACATATAACTTACTCCTCTGTAATCTTTTTTTTTTCTTTTAATGATTGACAAATATGGAAACCGCCAACTCAGGGTTCGATAGCTCGCTCGATAGCTCAGTTGTGGAGTTACGGAATGGTAATCTGGCGGTCACAGGATCAAACCCCGCTCCACTTCTTTGTTCAACTTTGCATTAAATTTTGTTTTCTGACCAACAAACTTTCATTGATTCCATCATTTTCGGTTTTTGTCATTGGTTGCTATGGCAACTGACCTCATCGATGATGTTGATCTGGGATGCAGCACCGTCTCTCGTCTCCTTGTCTTGAATCAGTTCCTTGATGCGTTCCTCATAGCGTTCCTTCATGCTCAAGGCGTTGGAATGCAAACCGTCGTACTGCAAATGGAAGATGTTGACAGTTAGATTTGACAAAGGAATTAGCATTTGGACAATTTATGTTTGGCTCCATGGAGCCTCCAGTATAGACCTTTATCATGCTGCCACCATTTCAGTCATGTTCCCTGTATCCAATAACAGAACTGAATGATAATGTTTTTGTGCAAAAAGGAACCAGACTATTTTTTCTTCCAGCCTCAAATTGGTTACGTTGATTTGAATGGGAAAAAATCAAATGGCCACAACATGATAATGGTCTATTGTCTAAGAAGTTTCGTTCCATTTCTCTTTACATGACCGTTTTGCAGTGGGTTGCGTTAGGCACAATTAGTGCACTAACAAATATGAAACAGCACAATCAAGTTTGAGCCGTCATATGCAGTGTTACATTCTGTGTGGAGTGTGGCCTAGTGGTTAGTGTTCGTGACTCATGATCAGGGGTTCAAATCCAGCTGCTGGTCATATGTTGCGTCCTTGGGCAAGCCACTTTACCCCACTTGCCTCTCTCCACCCAGGAGTATAAATGGGTACTGGCGTTAGCTGGGGAGTAACCTGCGATGGACTGGCATCCCATCCAGGGGGAGTAAAAATCTTCTCATTCGCTTCATGCTACTAAAACCGGAGATAAACGCAGGCCTGATGGGCCACATTAGCTCGTGACAGACTTTACTACTCTCTCTAGCTCTGTCACTCTTTGACATTCTTTAATACACTTAAAGCAAATGCAACCACTCCTGTTTGACACACATTATAAAATGGTCATTAAACAGTTGATGCCTGACGGTATTTCCACCATCTGCCAACGGATGCACATTTTCTAACAGGCAGTTTTTCTAGGGGGGTCCCTCAGACGGCAACGATAATTTGGTTTCTACTGAGGACAGCATGGCAAGTAGCACTGCTTCTCTTTATGACCCCCTAGGCCCTTTTGGCTAGGAACCATGCTCAATCCTACAAAATCATGCAAAAATTTGATTCAGCCCCAATCCTGCAAAATCCTCTGCAATTTCTTGCATTTGATCAGTGGCAGGGTGACCACTGCCTCAATCCTTCAAAATCCTCGGACGCACTTTTGCACACGTTGGAGCAGTGTGGATGACATCCAAAAGCAGTGCAAATGATATCTAGAGTAATCGAGGCATAATTTATGCATGGCTAAGCATAAACAGTGCAAGGTGTAGCTCAAGACTTAGACACAATGCATCCTCCGAAATCAACTTCAAATAAAATCCTCCAAAATCCTCTAAAACACATGGTGGATTTTGGTGGACTGAGGAGGGCTCCCTTTGGCAATAATTCAAAAGGCAGTAGCATAATGAGAGGGTTCTGATTAGCTTCTAGTTTGAACTGTCATTAGACATGGGATGATTGAAGTGTTTTGTCGTGACCTCTGACCTTCTCTTTCCAGCCGCTCATCTCCGACAGCTGCTCCTTGAGTTGACTGGCCTCTTCTCTGATTTCGCCTTGACCAGACCTCAAAGCAATCATCTGAAGTAAACAAACAAGATCAACAAGTAAACAACCTCAATATTTTAAAGCACGTAGTATTAGAAGACAAGGTAGTGGAAAAATATGTAATTACTGTCACAAAAAATGAAATTTTTTTAACTTGATTAAATTGATTTCATCTGGAAGGAGAAGCCTGCGTTCTATATCACAAGTTGGCATTAACCCTCTTTGCCCCCCCCCCCCCCAGAATCCCTTAAAAAATCCAAGAAGGAGCTTATTGGGGGACTTGCTTGACTGATGCCAGCAACTTTCACTTCTCAAAAGTTTAAAAGAGTACAAACACCGTTCTATTAGATTCATATACAGCATTGGAATTTGGTTTATTCAAGAATAGTCCCGGCAACAATGCTAGGAATTTAGGGTTTCAAGTAAAAGGCTTCTTTACATAAAACCTTAAGAAGAAACACCCATAATAGTCAAAGCCTTTTATCAACTGTGTTTTGTCTATGGGTCATTTTATATATTAAGGGTCCAAAGTGTGACTTTTTTCCCCGTCCCTGTTACCTTGGTACTTTGTAATTTGCCATTCAAGTATTACTAAAAATGACTTCAAATGGTTCTTTAGTTGTTGGGTGGGTAGTCTGCTATTCATAATCACTCTTGGAGGATGACTGCATTAAGGAGTGCATCAGAATTATAAAATCATAGATGTCAGATGTAACAGGGACAGGAAACAGTGAACGCTAAATGCATAGAATGAGCCATGTACCTTTTGCTCAGTCTGAGCTAGTTTCTTAGCAAGCGCGTCTTTCTCATCAATGAGTTCATTATACAGCCTGTCGTGTTTGTCTGTGGCCTGGGCTAGGAGTCGTTCTGATCTCTCTTTCCACTGGGATTCAAGGTCACGCTCAACCTGGGCAACCTACGAAAATACAAAGCAGACTGAAATAACTGACGGAAAATTGTCATTGATGTGAGCTATGTGCAGAACTACAGGTAAGGCTGTCTCAACTACAGTGGCACAACGCAGAGCCCGCCTTGCCAGCCACTGCTACAGAGCCAAAGAGCAAGTTGTCTCTGACCTCATCTGCTGGAGATTGCCTTCCCCCAACAGAGGGAGGAGACCCCTCAACTACGTTGACACCGTATGCAATGATGTGAGCCAGCACGTTGATGACATCACCACGGCCATGGCAGACAAGAGAGTCTGGAAGAGTTTGGTTGCATCCATCTCGACTGCGGCCGCCCAATGATGATGATGATGATGTGTGATAGACCCACTAGAACTAGTGCTGTAGTGAAGTCCATCACGTCATCACAAATCATCATAAGTCATCACAAGTTCATCACAAGTCCATCACTAGTCTTCATAAGGCCATCACAAGTCTGTCACTAGTCATCACAAGTTATCACAAGTCAATCACTAGTCATTCCTTTGTTACTGTCTATCTCCTGTTGATTGTAACCAGACTTGTGATAGTCTCGACTAATGACTACAGCCAATGAAATACATGTCTCGGCACTGGCTCCTTCAAGTTCCTATTAGTTACGCACTAACAAGTAGATCTTTCATTTGACAGAAAACTACCAAAATGAGGGTAGAACCCAAGAACTTGTTTTGCTATTTAAACAAAATACAATTGTGAGCCAACCTGTTCAGCAGTGGCAATGTCTTTGGTTGACTTCTGTAACCTCAGCTTGTTCTGTAAACTACTGATCTCCTCCTAAAAAAACAAAGAAAGAAGGGTGAACAACTTTGAATGAGGAACAATTATGTATTCTTGTAAGAGGTAAATCGACAGCATGAAAGCAACAAATTTAGGAAAAGATAGAAATAAGAACCAGAAAATTAAAAAAAACAAACACAGAATATGCAGTGCCTGAAATAAAGAAAATGGACCAAAAGATGGCAATTCAAATTTAGGGTCATTGAGGGTAATCCAAAAGAAAAACAAAAGTAAAACGACAAAACAAAAAAAACCAAAAAAAACCAAAACCTCTCCAAACGAGCCTAGTCATTTAGTGCCCTGACTCTAATATAGGGCTACTTTGAATACATGCCACTCTCTAAACTGCATTGAAACTGTTTGAAAACAGCACCAATACTATTTCTCAGCAATTTCCCGATTAGTAAAACTAGTCAAACAAGTTGTAAGACCAACAACACGGAACCAAACACACAGGCAAGACCAACTTGACAACTTTCTCACTTAACTGACCCTCATAACACACTGATCTACTCCATTCAATATAGACTAGAAAATCACAGAGTCAAGACTGTATAACGGTCGGGAGAGTTTGGGAAGGGGAAGCACACACTGACAGATACCCCGACAATTCACCCACCCACGGACATCGGCACACAATAAAAACAAAAATCAAGTTGATGCAAAATGATACCTTGATCTGAGAAGCTACTATACTCTGGGGGACAAAAACAAATAGAACAGAATGTTTCTCATTTCAGAGGTCATTAATGGAAATGATTGCAAAAGAAACACAGGAAAAAAAAGCTTTTGACAAGGTTAAATGGGAAATTGGAAATGATCATTAACAAGTTCACGTCGGATGATGGATAAACACGCAACTGGCGAGGCCAGAGATATCTGTCTGCGACCTGCTTGCAGCGAGCGAGGCCGGAAAAAAACAGGTTGTGCTACCCGCAGATGATGGCCTGAACCCGTCTGGCATTGAGGTTCATGAAAACTCTCCCGCGCCTGGGTTCGTTCATGTCAAAATAATCCCGGCGCAAACTGGTTAAGTTAGCTAGAGCAATAGTATCTTTCTCTGTCCCATTCCATCATCTTTAATTTTCCCATCTTTTTGACTGAAGCTGATGGGAAAATTGAAAGTCATAATCGAAAGTCACAATACTGATGAGTTTTTTGATATCTTTAAGCTGCAACTATGGCTGAGTAAAAAAATGAAATAGTTTCTCTTCCAGGCTTTCTGAAAAAAAATGAAGGAGGCAGACGCTTTTTCTTCTTTTTTTTCTCCAAAATAGGGGATTTCCAAGAAGGCGGATTGAGTCTTCCATTTTCTCTACTCTTCTGCCGATACAAAATTGTGTCCAAAAGATCTACAACCATTTCTTTATACATGTAGCTAAAATTTTGTTAGAAACAACTAAAGACAATATATTGACAATATACCGGTAATAAAAAAAGGATGTGGGTGGCAAAAAGGAAGGGGGCAGGGACGAGAAACTGGTTTATTTTTTTACCTGGCCTAATCAACAGATCCAACAAAGAGTGAACCCTCAACTTATACTTAATAACAAAAAATGGTGGCAGCAGTGGGATTAAGGTATCTCTTCCGACTTCACACTGTTTTAATTTTTGCTCACCCCAACCTCACTTTTTATCTAAGTCTCTCCTGTTTTGGCTGAGACAGTCTACATGTAGAAGACCTCTTAAAAAAGTAAAACTTGCCCATCAGGAATGATCAACTACTTTTGTTTTTTTGGTCAGCACCTCCAGCAATGGTGGCAGCAGCGGGATCATTTTGTGTTTCTTTCTTCTTACCTCATACTGCTTCTTAAACTCCTCCATTTCCTCGTCAAACCTCTGTTTTTCATGGGCAGCCTTTTTCTTTCTCTCCGATAGATTCTTAAAAAGAAAAAGAAGACATTTCAGTTCAAATTTCTTTAAGACACTTCAGCTTCTTCTTGCACCAATCCAAAATGGGACAAGGAAGGTGGAATGCTGAAGTAGGAAGGATATCTTAGGGAGAGTCATTAACGGATACCAACAACACCGTTAGGCTTGGCATTAATTTTTTTATTTAATGCTTATTTTAACTGGGTAGCCAATTCAGTGGAATCCACTGGTCCCCCATGGGGCCCAGTAAAGAGAAGACAATGTGAAGAAATTACAGTTTTAGATGTGGGAGGAAAAGCCCAGAAGAATATTCTGAGGAACACCCACAGAATCAAGTAGGGAGTGGAAACCCAATCCACATATTGGTCCAGGCAGGAATTGAACCTAGGCCACAGTGGTGGAAGGCGAGGAAAGTACCGCTTTGTCAACCTGACTCCCACTAAATGAATAAAACATCAAGAACCTGCTATCAGTAAAAAATGCCATTTATTGAAAAACTGCTCTGATAGGAAAGCGGATTGCACGTTTGCTACATTTGACAACAAAAGGACCTCCCAAGTTGGACAGCTGAGTTGGTGAAGCACTCAGTGGTCGCAGGTTCGAGTCCCATTCCAGGTAATTTTTTTTTTTTTTTTAATTCAAGCTTTACCTTGTCGATATTCTCCTTTTCACTCTTGAGATCGTTGAGTTCATCCTCAATGACCATGAGACGGTTGCTCAGAGACTTCTTCTCCGCCTTCTCCTCCTTCAGGTTCCTCGTTAGCTCTGTGACTTTCCAGTCCGATTCTACTTGTTAGAAGAAAACAACAGTTTTGGAAAAAAGGTCAGTATCAGAGACGGTAAAGCAAGACTTCCAATTATTAAAGATCTGCTTTATCAGTATTTACTTCATCAGCCTTGCTCCTTCATTGTCATAGCAAGGTTGGACATTTCTGGAAAAAAATGAAAATTCTCTGCAACCTCTTGCTTCATAGAAAGTTCCAGAGTGGAAGTCTACTTCCTCTAAACTTGCATTTCTGAGCTTTCCAGACAAATGAAAAAAAATCTCTGCTATGTACATGGAACTCTGTAGGTTGTTCTATACACTGCCATATTGTAGTATCCACAGCTTGGGTGATACAGCTAAGCTAGATTATAGACCTTATGTCCCTAAGCAGGGCATTTTATCCCAATCAATCAAGGAGACGTGACAATGCTCTCAAGGGAACTAAGACAATGTGCTGGAATGAGTTATAGGTTTTGCCATTAACTGCCACATTGTAGTATCCACAGCTTGAGTGATACAGCCAAGCCAGCTTGGGTATGTCCCTAAGCAGGGCATTTTATCCCAATGAATCAATGAGAAGTGACAATGCTCTCAAGGGAACTAAGACAATGTGTTGGAATGATTTATAGGTCCAATGAGCAGGGGTAACAATACTGCTTCTTCTATTAACCCTAACTCCCTAGCATGATTTACTAGGAACCATACCCATCCTAGCAAATTCCAACACCATATGGGAAACTGCACACACATATTTCTGACTTTGATCATGGAGGTGTGCCAACCCAATGTAAAAGACTGTCAGTTTAGGGGTACTGTACCCATCCCGACAGATTCCAACAAAACATGCCGTTGGGGTTTGATGGGTTGAGTTCTGTTAGGGTTAAACAATTTGCAGCACGTTCGTAAATGTCGGGGACAAGAATTTTTCTTTCTTGGCCTGACCTTGTTGCTTAGCCCTCATAACTTCCATCTCAGACAACTGTGACTGGGAGGTGTTGATTCCCAGGTTGAGTTGACTCTTGAGTTCACCCTCTCGTTGCTGGACTGCCGATAGCTCCATCTGAAGGGCGCTGATCTTGGCTGTGCCTTTGCTCAGCTCGGCCGTCAGCTGAACCTAAGCAACATGAAGATCGGCATGGAACAATCAGTGTTCATTCATAAATACCTAAGACAGTTTACCCATTCCTATTGGTCGAGAGCCCGTCACGTGGGCGGTTTTAAATATAAAACACCGGCTGGTTTTCAACACTTGATTCCTTATTAGTGGTTTGTTTCACAGAAAGGGCTATCCAGCAATTAACAGGACAAGTTTTACTGACCAAAAATTATGCTTATCTCATGGATATTAAACAGTAAAGACATTATAACATACGCAGGTGCATAATTTTTTTATTGTGGAATCACTTTTTTTGAGCAAGTACAGTCTCAGTGTGTAAAGGTCTTAGGTGGTAGAAGATAATTTTGAAGTAAATCAAATTAGGTTTTAACTTTTTGCCCTTTGCCCTTCACCGACGTTTAAACACTGTGTACTCAGTGTGTTACCTCCCGAGTGAAAGTTGGAAAAAAATCACTCGGGTGGGACTCAAACCCACGACCTCCTGCTTTCTAGTACAAAACCTAATTTGATTTATATCAAACCGACGCAAAATTCCATCTTATAATAATTTTGAAGTACTTTTTCCTGTTCCATCTCCAGAACCCTGGCCTGAGACTGAGCTGTTGTCTGCTTAAAGGAATCGTTTCTCTTCTCCATCATGGTATTGCTCTGCTCAACAAACCTACAATCAAACAAAATGTCACCACAAACATTAATTACTTGATTTATTTTTTTGCAGTCAGACTTTTCCCTCCGTATACAACAAAAGATGACATGATGCAAAAATTGGAGGTATTTTGCAGACAATTGGGTTTTAATTCGAACCTGATGGTCCCGAGATGCGATAACAGATTTGGACAAGGAAATACACAGACAATGCAAGACAAGGACAGGAAGAGACAGGGCAAACATTAAAACGACGTGCGTGTTCATGAATCATTCCTTGGATACTAGGTTAAAGCCTGATGCATGCTGTGAGTGTTGGACCACATGGTTACTAACAGTCCAACAAAAAATTTATACCCCAAAATTAAAAGCATGCACTCATTCTAAAAAAAAATTTCGCCTTTGTTTTTAAAGGCCTTCCCTTTGATCACTTCTTTATTTTCACATATGCTACATGTGCATTGCAGAACAAACATCATTGAGCTCATTAGCGCATTCCTTTTTATTTCTATGGTCCTCATTTTTTTTTACTCTGAAGTAGGGTTGGTTGGTCGAAAAAATACAAATCGGAAAAAAGTAATAATTAAAGTTGCACCCATATAGATGGCTAAATTAATTGATGCCAAGTGCGCATTGTCTCTAGCTTTGGTTATTGCAATGAGTTTATCATGAGTTGATCACTTGATAAAAAAATAAACCATATTTAGCAAGAGTGTAGTTGACTGACATTATATCTGCATCAAGCAGCTCACTAACGTTTGACTGTAGTGGCAGCCATGATATACAAGTGAAGGTAGACACCTAATAAATGATGAGGCAAAACATCCTTGAATCTTCTGGGATTCCACTGGTTGCTATACGCCGCACTTCGCGTGAAAATCTGCTATTCATGTTCAATAGCTTTTCAAATAACACAGAGCCTAATTGCCTGTTGGTAACCAGTTCGAGCCGGATGACGTGTATACATGCAAAGGTTTTGCGGTATTCGGAACGGATGACGGATTAACACGCAGGGAGCGAGGCTGGAAATATCTGTCAGTGACCCGCTCCCAGCAAGCGAGGCCGGAAATATGAGTGTGCTGCCCGAGGGTGATGGCTTCAACCCGCCTGGCTTGAGGTCCAGTGAAAAATAATCCTGCGTCTCGTTTCATTCTTGTCAAATTATTGCTGGCTCGAACTGGTTTATATTTATTTATTTTTTCATTTGTTATAATTTTTTTGTGAATGGGGTTCTAGATGTTAATTTTCATCATTTTTTTCATTTGTTAATATTTTTTTTGTATGAATGGGGTTCTACACGTTACTATTCATTGTTTTTTTTATTTGTTATTATTTTTTGTGTGAATGGGGTTCTAGACAGGGTCGGCGGTAATTAAAAAAAGGGTTTTGTTTTCTCGGGTCAGGAGCCCAAAACGGAATGGTCGGAAATGAGAACCAAAGGAATAAAAAGGGATGCCCTTAGACACTGTAGTGCCTTTCAGTATCCCGTCTACTCGCTCCGCACCACTCAGGATTTCTGGAGGTTCTGGACAGAACACTTGGTGAAATGAACGAAGGCAGTGCATTCACACATTGTCATGCAAATGATATGCAAATTGTAATCATGCAAATGATATGCATGGTTCCATGCTTCGGGGTACAATGTACATGCGCAGAGGGGCGGGGGACCTACTTTTTGACATAGCCATGGTCATTGTTGACTGTCTTGTTAACATTGTTGTGGCTGCAGGGACGAAGGAGATGGGGAAAATGGCCAACTGAAATTGTGATATGAAAAGCGGCTGGGCAAAGAGGCAGAATGTTTGAAGGAGATTGCAACGATGGATATGCAGAGGCAAACAAAAGTAATTAAAAAACTACCAATCAGGGTGGATAGGTAGAGAGTAGATCACACAAAAGATTATATGATTTGTAGATATTTCACGATTACTCTTTAAGATTTTGCCGTGAATGTGCTTACTGGAAGTGGAAGGCAAAAATTTATAGGGTTATAAAGGACGAAGTATTAACTCTAACGATCCCCAACCAGCCAAACTCCAACACCAGGGTTTGTTGGAATCTGTTAGGATGAGTACTGCACTAGTAAACTGACTGTGCTTTGGGTGGGAATTAGGCATATCACAAATAAACAGAGTCCAACTGTTTTGTGCAGAGTTTACCATATGGTGTTGGGATTTGCAAGGATGAGGAAGGTTCCTAGTAAATCACCCTAGGGAGTTAGGGTTAAACTGCAAGAATAAAAATCCAGCTTATTGTAATTATCGCTGCTGATGCTAACTTTCCAGAGGGGCAAAATTATTGTTTACCAAAATTTTCTGTTTACCATATTTGTTCAAACAAAAATGAAAAATGCTAAGTCCAATTTTGTACTGTATGTGTTTTCGAAGTTAAGTCAAAATTGATTATGCCTGATCACATTTTGTGTCTCCTTTCCTCCTCTGTGTTTCAAATGAACAGCTGTCTTGTTCTCGACAGATAGAACCTTGCAACCTGTCCATCATACAGTGTGTATTGACCAATGAGATCAGGATTTTTGGTCAGGTGACCGTGGTAGACCAGTCAGAAGCCTCATCTGAATGACTTGGCTACGGCTGGAAATAACACAGGGGTCTATGGGAAGTGGCTGCAGCGGCTACCATCATGTCCATAGGTGCGTGTGTAATTTAAGCCGTAGCCGTAGCCACAACCAAACTCACTCACAAACACTCTAGAGATCAGGGCCCAATTTCACGGCGCTGCTAAGCACAAAAATTTGCTTAGCACAAAAAAAGTCTGGCTTATAAAAGCAGGTTATTAGCCAAAACTCCATGTGATTTTCATGCTAAGCAAACAACAGCTGAATACTAATCACGCACAATATACATCACGTGGAGTTTTGGCTGGTAGCCTGCTTTTATAAGCTAGACTTTTTTAGTGCTAAGCAAATTTGTGTGCTTAGCAGCGCCGTGAAATTGGCCCCTGTACACATACCAAAGATGGCTGGGCTTCGGCAAAATCTGGAGCAGTCAATTCAACAACCGGGGACTTACATTTGATTCCTCTGGATGAGTTCTGCAATCTTCTCGTTCTGGGCCTCAATCTTGCTGCCTTTCTCCACGTTCTCCTTCTTGAGCTTCTCATTCTCTTGCACGATGCGGGCAATGTTCTGCATCAAGATGTTGGCTTCTAAATTTGGGACGGCTGCGGTTGACTGGCCGCTCGCCGAAGACTGGAAGTTGAGTTTTTCCACCTACGAGAGTTGACAAAGAAAAGTGAAGATTTGTAAAAACTTCTTAACTGAAAAATATTTATCTAATAATTAAAAAAAAAAAAAAAAAAAAATTGTCAAAAAAAAAAAAAAAAAAAAAAAAAAAATTGTCTGAGTACATCCGACACCATGGTGCTTCTAGCTGATTTCTACTACAGCAAAAAAAGTTGGATATTGTCATAAAATAAAATCCACTTTATGATTATAACATTTATTATGCACACTGTTGATTTGTCCAAGATGTATGTCGGACACTGTGGGACTTCCTGTAAACATCTCTAAGGAGTTATTTTGGATTACCATGGATAAGTAACTGTTGAGGCAAACTTTGGCTCTGACATTGTGTCCAAGCAGAGGTTATCAAACTTAAACTAGATTAAAACCAACGTGCAGAAACAAACATTTCAAAATCTATATTAGCGTGTTACCTCCCGAGTGAATGTCGGGGTGACTAACATCAACCCTTTGCAAATTCATCTTATGAATATTTCAAAATCAAAACCCCGATACTGTACACAAATACTGGAATTTGCATCCTTGTGGAGACATTCCTTGGTTCTCGTGTACTAAAGTTTTCAAGTTTGAAAGTGTAGTTTAAAAATGCTCTTATTTTAACCAGAATTAATTTCCTTGGCTGAAAGTTAGACTTAATATCCCTTTTCTAAAACTCTTCCATTTGCGACAGATCAACATAGCTTGGAAACTCCTAGTTTTTGAGTAAATTCCATATATCTATTTCGTGAAAACTTTGTGGAGTATTCATCTATAGAAATTGTCCTGTGGAGACGTATACAATCTTTTGTTCCCTATTGTACACACGTCTCCAGAGGGTACGGTGTATTAGATCCATATACACATACAGGGTATGTATTGTCAATGACAAATATTGTGATTGAAATCAATTTTTAATCAAGATGTGCTCCTGAAAATTCGGAAACCGATAGACAGACAGTATTACTTTCGACTCTAACTTGTCTGCGGAATAAAGTGATACAACATGCTCAGAATTTCCAAAGAAAATTTATCAAAACTTTCCAAATACATGTACGTTCGGCTATAAATACACCACACAATACACCACTGCAATGTGGATCATTTTACTAATGCCTCGTGACAAGACCACGACTTCCTCCACGACAGCACCAATACCAAAATAGAGGTGACTCATCCCTGCAGTCATTTTTGTCAAATCTCTGACGATAACTTCACTCGCAAGACAACTTCAAGACCTCCGACAAAACCACAATAGAATCCCCGGTACCTGTATGGTCACCATGGCTGGCACGGTGCAGTACATATATCCGTCACCGGTGCCTGAGCTGGGGCGAGAGCGTTGGTTGTTGGCCATACCCCCGCTGGTCTTGGCCTGTAGTTTAGAGTGTTGAGTAGGCCCCATGGATGGCGGACTACCGCCTGGCAACATTCAGTGTCTGTGTAAGATCGCACACGCTGATAACATCGGCATCAATGACTGCCCAAGGACTAGACTTGCTTCAAGCAGTGTCTTGATATTCTAGTCTTGTTTCCATGCTGGCATCTGATGTCTCTCATCCACATGAACTCTTAGAGAGCACAGAAGCAAGTCTGCAGGATTGTTTCTCAGTCGCAACAAAATCTGCAGGATTTGTTTGTATTTTTCTCTTGCTTTTTTTTGCGAGAGGAAGTGAAAGGGGATAAGGGACGTGCTGCAGCAGTAACAGCAGGAATTCTTAGTCACTGCTTGATGAAGTGCTTCCGTTTGTTGCTGCTTAAGTCTGAATTAAGGAGGCTTTAGAAGATTGACGTTTTTTGCGTTGCCCACATAGTCCTTTATTACCTATGAATCACTCTTGTGCGACAGTGTCTTTTAACAGCATCGCTTTGTTTATGGGTTGCAATCTTTGTAAAAGGAATAGTTTGATCTTTGTTTTTAATTGCTCCCCTAGTCTCTCATTTTAGCAGCCTTTCTTTGCAAGGAAGGGCGTGTCTGTATCTTGTGAAAATAGACTAATGAGCGGTCTGGATGCAAGCCAGACAGAAGGAGTGCATTTTGGGTTCAGTATGTCAGCCAAATGACCTTTCCAAGTGGACATTAAAAAAAAAGTGTCGAGTGATGTGATCCTGAAAGAAGAATATTTTGACAATGTATAAACTCTTTGCAATTTAGTACCTATCAACAAAACATGACTTGTTACTTGTACATACATTGAGCAACCTGTATAGACACAACAAGTTTATGTTTTCTTTTTTTTTAACACCCAACAAGGGAATGTACGAATAAAGGTAATTTAAAAATGTATGGAAAGTTAATAGGTAGAAGAAGTTTCATTTCATTTTTTCTGGAAGGACCTTCCTAAATAGCCCAGCTGTGAATTAATATATACATTGTAACGCAAACCCTGCTCATCTCTGAAAGTCACCTCACAAAATAGTTGAATAATCTTGGGGTTTGATTATTTTGTGCTGTCAAAATGTCTCATGTTTTCATTTGACATATAGACATCCGCTTTGTGACCATCGCAGCATTGAGCAAGTACATGATGTACATATAGTGACTCATGCCCGGGGAGGGGACCGGGGGGAGGGGACCGGGGGGGGGGGGGGGGGGGGGGGGGGGGGGGGGAGGGGGGATTACTGACTTGAGTCTTCCTGACAGGAAGAGGAGTGGAACCTTGGGGGAGCTCTGTCCCAGGAAATACAAGCTCTAACCCCCCTCCCCCCCTAATTCCTAATGGGGACTGGACCAGAATGTTTTCTTCTTGTGGGTTTCAGTGACATAAGATGGAATTAGCGGCTGACTCGGAGACTGATGCATCAGGAACGTTTTCTGTCATGGATCGCTGGGCTTGCGAGTTTGGGGACGGCTTTTGATAAATTGCATGAATTTTCCTTAAATTACTGTTTTGTGTTTACAATACTCTTAAAAATCTGCAAAACATTCACCATGGATCAAAGGGCCTAGACCATAAAATGTTGAATCGTTTGATCAGTGCAAAGTGTTGATCTTAGCAAATTCAATAAGATTCTTATTTACAATTATTTATTCCGTGGTTCAAGGTTCATACATTAAAAAACAATTAAAGTAAACATTAAATATTCAAAGTTGTGACAGTTGAACAACAATAAGTGGATATATGTGTACCCTTAATCTTGAAAGATTTGCATCATAATTTTAAAGTTCCATTCTTCAAACTATATCGATTAATTTTCCCGTAAAAAAAAACGAAATTGCCATTTTCCTTTCATTTCATCAATACATATTTTTGTTTATTTTTACATTTATTTTATATTCCTCCAGTATTACCACAACCAGCTTTGAAAGTTTTGATTTCACATTTATATTCAGGCACTGTGGGGAGTGTGGCCTAGTGGTTAGGGTTCGTGACTCATGATCAGAGGGTCAGGGGTTCAAATCCAGCTGCTGGCAATACAATGTGTCCTTGGGCAAGCCACTTCACCTCCAATTGCCCCTCTCCACCCAGGAGTATAAATGGGTACAGGCATTAGCTGGGGAGTAACCTGCGATGGACTGGCATCCCATCCAGGGGGAGTAGAAATATTCTCAGTCGTTTCATGCTACTGAAACCGGAGATAACTGCTGGCCTGATGGGCCACATTGGCTCGTGACAGACTTTACTTTTTTTTTTACTTTTTACTGCGAAAAATGCTAACCCCTAATCTGCAGCACTATGTTTTCATGCTGGATTTAAACACTTGCTGCTGGGATTATTTTTGGCCCCAAAATACCATTTATGAACAAGACAAGATATATTTGCCAAATTCAAAATTAAACACCACAAATACTGACTCTTGAGAGTCATTTGTACAATATATTTTGTTGACACTTCTCACTATAACTTTATATTTTGCAACACTCCGAGGCCCCGCACGGAGCGATATTTGCTGCAATGACAGGCCATGTACAAGATGGTGTGTACAAAACCAGTGGAAACCACTGATGAGTATACACGTCCACAGCTGGCGACTCGGGGAAGGCTTGACAATTTAACCTGTCAACCGCCCCTGCTAATATACATTGCTAGTTCTTGCATACACGTCCTCCGTCATTAACTGGTTAAAAAATAAAAAATGGCACTGCCCTCTTCATCTGAAATAAGACATATCTTTCTTTATATCACTAATGTAAAGACATTCATTGACCCTAACCCCTTGAGCACTTTTACTAGAAAGTATCCTGAATCCCCCCCAAACCCACTAATTTTGTCATGCAAGAAAACGCTGGTGTCCTGAATCCATCAGAATCCACTAGTGTCCATCAAAATCCACCAGTGTAGTACATATACCTCGTACACACCAAACATAGAGCCAAAGAGTTAAACTGTTGTGATCCTGAATCCATTAAAATCCCCCAACTGCTCAATATGGAGGTATCCTGAATCCATCAAAATCCTGCAGTACCGCTAGGCTTACTGTCCTGAATCCATCAAAATCCCCCAACTGCTCAATATGGAGGTATCCTGAATCCATCAAATTCCTGCAGTACCGCTAGGCTTACTGTCCTGAATCCGTCAGAATCCCCCAACTTTTTCAATATGGAGAAGTGTGTGGATTTTTATGGATTTAGGTACGTTAGGGTTAATAACAACAAAAAGTGAATCTGGGAATGAAGTTTCAACTCACCCTAGTCGAAAGGTTATCAATCTTGCCGGACACCAGGTCCATGACCATCTTAAGATCCGAGTGATGCTGCCTGGACTCCGACAGTAAGACCGGCAGCTCTTTGCTCAGGGGTTGCTGGACCAAAGCCTGACTGGTGCCAGTCAGTATAGCCCCGCCGAATGCCTGCTGCTGTTGCTGCTGCTGCTGCTGGTGTAGGGTTTGTTGGGCTGCAGCGACAGCTGCTGCTGCTTGCTGCTGCTGCTGGAGTAGGAGATTGGGGTCTGTGGTCTGGGCGGGGTACTGCTGCTGGTGGAAAGAGAAGGAAGGAAACAATCAGGTTTTTGCCCCCCAAAAAATTGAATTAGGTCTCTACTCCTGAGAAAAACAAAATTAAGACACTGACAAAACTATCAACATTTTAACTCTTTGAGCGTGTTATAAAAACCTGATTAGATGAAATTCAAACGATGCACTATGATGTTCGAGTAAATATTATTGGCTTGGCATCTCTTTTGGGTGTCATTTTGAACCAATTAATGCTCACGCCTGTACTTACAGAAGGACTATAATGATAAAGACTATGTTTTCAAATATCACTGAGGCAGTATAATGTGACACATCCAAACTTCCCAGCTTTGCAAAAATAGTAAGATATTTAACCTGTGTTACAAGTGTACTTGAACCAGTCAGGTTTAATAGAGCTGTTGCCGCTTGACTGGTTTCCTGCCCACTCAAGCATGAAATGAACCCGAACCAGCCTATCTTTCTTCGGCAGCTTGCCTCCATTTAAAAAAAATCTCCACAAACTTCTGGGTGGATTTCAAAGGATCGATGGGGGAGGGAACGGGGTGTTGTAGGGGGGGGGGGTGGGTTAATGGACAGTTTATGTTTCAAATAAAAGTGCACATTTTTTCATTCCATGGATAGTATGCGTAAAATATTAGAAATTGGCTGTTAATTTGTCGCTGATTTCCATAGCAGTAAACTTGTCACGTTTTGGCCAGGAACGGAAAGCATAACACTGAGAGGATTTTGGGTGATTTTTACACCAAGAAAAGATCAATGCTGTAGCTGAAGTACAGTTCGGGTTACAAACAAGCAAGCAAGGGTGTAGTATGCAGAACAAAACACAACTAAACACAAGTAAGGAAGAACAAAATTAACAAGTTGGCCAAAGGAAGAAAGCAAGCCACAAAGCATAGGACGAGAAGATGCAATCAGAACCAGTTTCACGGTCAGTAAGGTTACAGATGTTAATGGAATGGTTAAGGATATGTTAGTATGTGCATTAGAAAGTCAGGAGCATAGAATTAACCCTAATTACCTACCTAGTTTTACTAAGTAGAAGGCCATGTCCGTCAAAATCCATCACTCACTCAGCTTCACAAAATGCTTCAGGACCAAATCCATTGAAATCCATCACTGGTGCTGGTGGATTTTGATGGACTTGGTACACATGGCTTATCTGCCACAATCCCCAAAATGGTTGATGGAATTTGATGGAGTTGGTAAGGGAAGGGTTTAATACTCTAAGCTTCAATGTTTGGTAGAAAAGGCAAGAACAGAAATATTTGGAACGTTCCACTAGGAATTCTACCTCTTATAATTTGTAAAAAAGGGAAAAAAAGGAAAACTAAATTTTCCCGCACGGGAAAATTTGCTTCAATTTTATTGCTGACTCAAAGAACAGCCCGATTCAGCTAGGAAAACGTTGGCAATGCTACTTGTCCCGACAAGGAAATGACGTTATTCCAAAAGGAAGCATTCAATATTAGACTAGGAATGTTGTTAGTTTTTGAGAAACTCCCTAAAGCAGGCAGCATAAAAGGAAAAGAAAAAAAAAGCAACTCAAAGGAGAAGTGCGTCTTTGCCACGGTACCTGGTACGGATATTGTGGTCCCATCCCATGGAAGGTTGTGGACTGTGGATGAAATAAAAAATGCAGGAAATAGCAGAAAAAAGAGACGATTACATGAGATGCACCAGACAGTGAGCAGCACAGCCACACGGAAGAGTGAACAGATGGGAAGGGGGAAGAATGGGGGAACAGACGCAGAGTTGTCGTAAGACCAATTCATACTTCATTCAAGTTTTTGAGAGAAGCAAATTTGTTAGGGTAATTGCAAATGTTACAAATGAAATTAGTTTGCGTGGCTTTTTAAGTGTTAACCAACCCACAAGACAAATTTTCATTGGTTTCTTCATCAATTTTTTGATCGCAGTTGATAACGCAGTTGATAAAGCTGTAGCAACTGGATTACTGTCAGTTTTGAATTTCTAAAACCTTGGCCTGATCTTTGGCCTCAAACTTCATTATTCTGAAGCAAGAGATGACACCAAAGCTGAGGCAAAGCCTGGAATTCGTAAACTCCATTAGAGTGTGGTGGGCTGGCCTCAACATTTTGTGTTATTTGGTTGGGGGGGGGGGGGGAGGGGGCTTGCTTACCTGAAAGCCTGGTTGCTGTGCCATGCCCTGCATGCCCTGCATGCCTGCCATGCCTGGCATTGCCATGGGTTGCTGTTGCACCTGCGGCTGGGCCTGGAACTGGTGCTGCTGCTGTTGGGGTTGTTGCTGTTGAGGATGGTAGACTGCCACTGCATGTGAGTGCGGCATGGCTGTAGAGGAAGAGAAAGGGGCAGATACCAGACCAAAGTTCAGATGTATTTGTTCCTATTGACAATTTTTTAAAAAGATAATTTACATTTTTTTGCGGTAAAGAACCTTTAATGTGTTTCGTGAAAATGGAGTAAAGTCCATAATTGGAGATTTCTGGTCATTTACAAAACTGTGTTTACGCACAGGAGCAGCGTTTACCTTGCGTGTTTTGCGGCATCATTCCCGGCGTGGAGTTCTGCATGTGCATCTGCATGCTGGCCTGCTGCGTCATGTGGTCGGCTACCGGCGCATGCTGGTGCTCCGGCTTGACGCTGGTAGGCGGCTTGCGTACTGTCTTAGCCGGCTTGCTACGCGGGTGGGTGTGGGTGGATACCGGTGGCGGGGAAGTGTAACCGGTGTCCGAGGCACTGTTTTCCTGTTAAGTGATATTAAGGGGACTTATTACTGTTACTGGCTCTGAAATGGTGACTTCAAGTAGAATGGGTCCGCCTCGGTTTTGGGTACCATGGTCCCTTTAGTTACAAATGTTACAAGACTTAGTTACAACAGGCGCACTTTTACGGGTACATTTAAAACTGGGTACCTGTTTCCATGACAGTTGGGCACCAGTGGATTTGTACTTAATATTTAAACCATAAATCTGTAACAGTGGCAGATGCCTCACATAAGATTTCACAAATTCAAACGCGAAACCGCTGCAGGCTATCTCTCAGAACGTGTAGGCAATGGCACTCAAAGCAAATTTAAGTAATCCTTTGATGAAAAGGAAAGTGGAGTTTAATTTTCATCTCCAGTTCATCATGCATTCTTTGTGGTGGATCCCAGCTTTTAAAGCACATAGGATCATTTGCTTTTCATGCATTTTTCTCCCCAATAAAAGCACCACTCAAAATCCAAAGAAGAATGCTCAAAACCTAACCCACTGAAGTTTCAGCTCAGTGGATATTGCACTTTTTTTTTGGAGAAAACAGTGACGAACTGTCAATTGACTGATTGATGGAAACAGTGAAGAATTGTCAATTGACTGATCGATGGAAATCAACAACATTTTGTTATTTCTTTTAAATAACAGCAAGCCAGAGGAAATAATTTCACGTGGTGTTCAGAACCATTGCAGTCTTTAATCCAAGTAAGCCTTTGACAATAATTTGGTAGGTTATTTTTGGGATAAACGCAAATGATCCTCTATGCCATTAACCAAGAACATGATCTTACATCGACCTCGGAATCGTCGGTACTCTCTGCTACAGCAGCTCCCTGTAGAGGCAGCATGGGTTGTCCCATCTTGGCCATCCTGGAGATCAGCTTGGCCTTACTGCTGGTCACCGGGCTCTGGGGAGCGGTCGGTAGACAAACAAAAATAGTCCAAAATCATTTTGGAGGTAATAATAATAATGTCGGAGTCTTATATAGCGCACGTATCTACCAACAATTAGGTACTCAAGGCGCTGGAGATATGTCTATTATTAAAGAAAGGTAAATAAAGTTTATGAGAAATATGAGACCCATTATGTAGCACCTTATAATGGTTTACAAGGTACTGCGGCGCATATTGCAGCCACTGCCAGAAACACCGGGGCAAACCCCTTCTCTTAGCGATAAGTGTTACTGGGTTCTTTAACGTGCATTACACAACACACGGGACCTACGGCTTTACGTCCCATCCGAAGGACGAAGCAATAATGGTAAAGTGCCTTGCTCAAGAGCACAAGCACCATGTTCCCACGGTCAGGATTTGAACCCATGTACCACGGCACACGAGTCGAACACCGTAACCATTGGACCACAGCACCCCACTAGGTCAACATGTTCAACTGTTGAACAAGTGCTTCCCTCATGTTAGCATTATTGGAGCAAGAGAAAATGGTTGTTATGTATGTCTCGTCTAGCTAAGGCCTTACAGACCCAACATTTTACTTCAAACATACAGCATAACGAGAAACTGATTAAATCTTTTGTCTGCCTGAGGTTATAAAACAGTGCACTTTTGAGTTGGATTCCCTGTGCTCTTGAACACATTTGTTTTTATCTATTAATAAATTGTTTTATTCCAACCAGAAACTTCCTTCTTATCATTTTACGGACGTCTGAAACCCTCTGGAAAATATTTATTTAATTTTTTTTTGGGGGGGGGGCACAAACAGCCTGCTTTCCGAGCAGACTAGCTCCCACTTCTTACATTATAAGAACGGAATAACTATCTGGCAGCCAATAATTTGAAATTGTGAACTAATTATTTAATAACTAAACATGTCTCATTCAAAAGTGACAAACTTTTGTATTTCTAGAAAAACAGCAATTTAGAAAAGGAAACTATATTTTGGGATTCGACTCTCAAATAGAATTGAGAATTGCAACTTCAAATTTTCGGCTAATTTTGTCAATTAGTAGCAGAGTCAGATTTGTAACTCACTGTGGACAGCTGTTCTGTGATGGACGCTGACCGCGTCTTCACGGTTTCGTCGCTGCTACTGTAACGAGTAAAAAATCAAGACAAACGTTTTTAAGAAACAAAAACACATTAATGAAATGGCTATCATCTCATGAACATGCCAGGCCTGTTTGGAATATAGTTGGAAGCACAATTCCGCTTACTGAGTTTATAATAAATGCCAACTGATGAAAGCCAGCACATCAATTAAGTACAAGTGATTGTATGAGATGACCATTAAAGGCATATAGAATCATTCGCATTTATCCCAAAAATGACCTACCAAATTATTATCACAAAGTTTACTTGGATTATACATCCTACTGGTGCTAAACACCCCTGTGAAACGATTCCCTCTGGCTTGCTATTATTTAGAAGAAATCAAGAGATGTAGGGTTTCTTTCCAACGATCAGTCCAATGACTGATTTTTGGAAATAAAGACAAAATTGTGTTACGTGATCGCTACAGACGAAATTGTGTTACGTGATCCAAAGGTTGTGCATGCTTTTTAACTATTTTCTCAAAAAGTGTAATATCCAACGAGCTGAAATTCAACAGGTTAGGTTTTAACGTTCTTCTTTGGATTTTGAGTGGTTTTATTATTGAAATTGAATAGAATGCATGAAAAGCAAATGATCCTAGTGTAATCAGGTAAATATGCCTTTAATAACAATGGGTGCTGGATTTTGGAGCAGTATGCTAAACACACTGTGGTCACAGCATTCTTCGTTGTGGATACAGGCTACTGAAGTGAAGCTAAGCAAATATGAAATTCATGTTTACCAAAAAAACGTATGAGGCGTATCGAACATGTGAATGTTGATTTGGGTTAATTGATTATGACAATTCATAAAATGAGGTAGACCCAGTTTTGGTCATAAAATGCTTTACGCAACTGCTAACATAAATAATGGTTTTTATTAAACGATTAAGACTTGCGTTACAGAACGAATGAGGTATTATTCTTAGATGGTTGGAACTGGAATGGATGACGACACAGCAGAATGGATACGGCTGAAAATTGTCTAGCAAAACCATCAAAATCTTTATAAAAAATCCCACCATGTGCATGTACAATACATAAAATTGACATCAAAGTCTACTCAAACACCAATTTTTTTCCCGCCTAAAATCACATCCGAAGAATCCCATGCAAAGTAGCCAAAGTGGTTAAAACAAAGCAGACAGTGGGGGAAAAGCAGCCATGGGGAACGCAAGGAATAAAATCCTGGGAACAAAAGGGTAGAGAATATAACATTTATCAAATGCCCTCAATTTTTTTCAAGGTAACAGTACTGATGACATGAACAGCACAGCAGAACTTGATGACGATGATGTACCAGCACTGATAGAAGCCATGATGATAGCAAGGATTTCACAAAAGCATCGTGATTTTTTCACAAACTGAAAATCAATTTTACACTTTTCGGTTTGGTTTGGTGGGTTTAGTCAGGCTCGTGGCAGACGGCGACCGCTTCTCACGAACTCGCTCGTTGGTGCTACTGTGAAGGGGGAAAACAGTCACATCATGAATAATACGTAAACTGTGGACGTTTATCTTGAAGATGATGATGAGCATCCCACGAATGACAATGATGAAGTTGATAAGGAACACCACTAAAAACAAAACTGAAGACAAAACAATCTGAAGACAAAATGCTACCCATCCCCTGAAAATGAGTCAGATGTGGCAACACTAACATTGCCAAGTTAGTGACTTGATAATGATGGTAAGGACTCTGTGTACATGTGAACATGAGTGTTGAACAACAGTTCCATCAATTAAGAAACTTCCCTGGTGTGCATTCATTCTTACAGAGGTGAGATTGGGGGACAATGGAAAATCCACAAAATAATCAGCAGAGGGTTGTAGGGTCACCGAGGGCCCTAGAGCAATGTAGGATCTTAATAGGTGAAAACACCTAGATTCTCAGGAATTTCAGATTCCAAAATGGATGTTTAAAAATCCTAAGATCAGGAAAAATCCTGACCAATCTCAGCCCTCATTCTTAATGTGTGACAGCAGTGTTTTTAGTATGGTTTCTGCCCCCTACTTTCTGAAGTCTAGAACTTACTGGAATGTGTGGCAACCAGTCTACTGCCAGCTCTTGTTTAACAAAATTCCCTGAAATACGTGCATCGAATCCCACAATGTAAACAACTTAACAGCAGACATCAAATTTGGAACCAGATAATTGTTGTCCTATATATGGCTTAAGCCGTGTCCGAAATGCTTGGCTACGGCTAAAATTACACACGTGTCTATGGCAACAGCTGCAGCCACTTCCCTTACACTTCTATGTAATTTCAAGTCATAGCTCAGGGCAGGTTCGCGCAAGAACTATTGTTGACCATTGGTTAACCATAGTTCGACAAAAATTAGCCCGAACTCTGTCTAGTCGATCGTGGTTGACTACGCTAGCCGACTATTTGGAACCAGCCTACTGGGCCTGGTTGCTTCGCTGGTAACCAATAGCCGTGCGCATTCATAACACTAGCAGAGAGCCAGAATCCAGAAGTTTTGCGATGACATTTTGACCAGCGTTTGACTAGAGACGTTCGCACGTTGCTATTAGTGCGTAGACGTAAGGTACGTCACAAATCAACCACTAATCAACTATTGGTCCTTGCCCGAACTTGGCCCAAGTAATTCGAAAATAGATGCTAGGCTAAACAGCGCCCTCTATCATTCATGAACAGCACCTTCTTCAGTCTGTGCACAGAGTCCATTAAAGCTCTTATCTTTGGCGTATTCTTAATTACATTTTCCTTGGCACTGGTGGTTTAGAGTGGCTTGCGCTGGATGGTGTCGGCATCTTTTCTTCTTCATCGCTGCTACTGTGACAGGGAAGAATATCACCAACACATCGGAATCAAGATTACATTTGTTTAGCTCGATGGACGCATGTCTGTACAATTTGGTTAATTTTACTAGAATAAGGAAAGAATTGCAACCTACCATACATACGATTACAATCAAACCGTCGCCATTCTGATACAGTAATGAACACAAATTGATACAACCTGTGCATTCCACATACTCCACACAAGAAGTGGTACAGACAAACAAAGTAGAACACTTTTCAGAGAGCAAAGTTCGCATTTATTTGTAAACTTTGCCCACCCTGCAAGATAACAATCACTAGAGCTCTACCTGAAATAGAAAACAAATTAAAAAACGGCACGTGTCTACCAATCATGTCAAATAAGTTTGAGATAATGACCAATTTTTAGAAATTGCTCTTCATACAAGACCTTTGGCATGAAAATCATTTTCGTTTTTTATTTTGTCGGCTCAGATACGTTAGTTTGTAAAAGTTTAGACATTTCACATAAATTTTCAAAGGTGAATGCAAAAAACGTTGAATAATACAGTTACAATATGGAGGGACACATTTATACATTTCTGTTTTACCACATGTAAACATTTTTCAAATTTTGAACATTGCGTTTTGCCCTTCACCCACACAAGCACAGTATACTCAGTGCCTTCTAAGATTTTGCGAGGAAAAAAAAACCAATTACAAGCTTTCTTGAGTAAGACTTAAACTGCATCTGAAAGTCTGACCAAAATCATTAATTCTGCAGTAGAAACACCAGTTTAGACGTTATGCTTTGCAGGTAGGTATCTCAGAGAGGTGTTCTTTGTGGCACCACCACAAAAATGGCTTCTAATTTTGTTTGGCGAATTCCAGAATATGCCTTTAAGTTCCGTCAGTCTTGCTGGGGCTTACCTTGCACCGTCCACCCTTGGTGAGGCTGCCCGATGGTGCTCATTGGCCAAGGCAGATGCCGCCTCCATGGCGTCTGAAGACACTGAACCAGTCTCGTCTTTGGAGACTTTGATCTACAAAGGTCACAGAACAAAAAATGACTTCACTCGGAAAGTTTACAACTGTGCTGGGGTGTGCAATGTAAGTCATTATGTCGTCGCATCAGTGCAACAAGGTCGTAACTCCATTCTGCAAGAAGGTCGTATCTCGCCGTCCATTGACTCTATGTGAACATCCAGGTTATTTTAAGTGAGATACAACCTTTTGACATACTGAAACTCACATTTCATGTATGGCCTATTTTAGGAGAACCAACCTTGTTGCACGGACATGACAATGTCGACATTATGGACCAACTGTATTTAATACAAAAGTCAATTAAGTGAAATTAATGATGCAATTGCTGTGAAGGGATACGCACGTATTGCAAACCAGGGCCCAATTTCTTGGTTCTGCTTACCGTTAGCGAAAAATCTGTGCTTACTGTAGCAGAAACTTACGTGCTTACGGTAAGCGTATTTCACGGGTTAGCAAGGAATTTTGGCCTTTGCGCATGTGTACATCCCGTAACTAAGGATTCTGTGGTTACAGGGTTAGCACAGAATTTTTCTGCAAGCGCGGTTAGCACAAAATGGTGGATTGTATGCGCAGAATTCTGTTGTAAACAGAGCCATGAAATTGGGCCCAGGGTATAGATATCAAAACGATGTTTAATTGTTATTTCGTTTTGATGTTTACTGTAAAATAACTATGGCCACTCATTTAGACTGCTTTACAAAAATTATTCAGTTCTTGCAAATCCACTTTTTCATAATTACAAACCCCCCCCCCCAATTTTTTTTTTTTTTTTAAAACAAGAAAAATAAATATCCCATGATGTCAAAATTTGAAGGAAAAAAAATGACACCTTTTTTATCTCCACATCAAATATCAACGTGGAGTTGGCTGGTATCCGTGAGCCCAGTCCTTTCTTCCCATAGGCCAGCGCAGGGGGAATCAGCAGCAACCGGCGCCCACCTTTCTTCATGGAGATCACGCCTTCCTCCCAGCCCTGAATGTTCAAAATGACAACAAAAAAAGGGAGTAAGGTAGTCCCGAACTTCAAAATAATTGTGATATTCAAGGAAGAGACCAAGTGAGTAGGTAATATCTTGAGAAGAAATCGGTTAAAAAAAATTACATGTATATCAATCGTTTGAAGAAAAAAAAGCAGATTTTAATCTACCTTTATAACTTTCCCACGGCCAATCTTGAAACGGAATGCCTTGTCAACGGTTGCATTGCTGTCAAAAACCTGGCAGAGAACAAACAATATTTACTGTTATATTTAAAGGTTACATATACAACCTTCGCTTTTGCTGTAATTTGGGTTAGTATTTTATAACAAACATTGTTACACTGACCCGTTTAAAGTTTTGTGTTCAAAGATGCTGGGGAAAAAAACAGTTAATTGTTTACTATAAGTCTGGTTCCCTGACCCCACTTCAGACAAAATGAAGCCATTTATAGACGTCAGGGAATTGTCAGGTCAGGGAACCAGACTACCTGGCTTGCATCCGTTCACAGATGTGCTACCGATTGCAAACAAAATGTAGACTAAATTTGGTATTGGGGGCAGTATTTAAAAAATATTCATTTTTTTTCTCCAACGATGGTTGGCTGACCATCGTTGGAAATTGATACAAATATTCCACATTTCTTGAAAATGACATTTCACCAATTTGCCATGATTTTACAGGATGCTTGAGACTATTATTCACTTACAGTCAAGTAAGGTATCTCATAATAATTTAGTAGTTTTGTTTTTTGATGTTAGCAAATGTTGTTTATATTATCCTTAAAGGGAATATACAACATTTGCAAACATCGAAAAACGAAACTACTAATTTTTTTACCAAATACCTTACTAGGATGTTGGCAAATGACAGTCTCAAGCATCTTGTAAAATTATGGCACCTGGTGTGAAGTCATGTCAAGAAAAGTAGTATTTTTGTATAAATTTCCATTGGTGGTCGGCCGACCACCGTTGGAAAAACCTATTTTTTTTTCAACTACTGCTCCAAATTTACCATTTCTTTCAGTCCAAATTTTGTTTGCTATTGGTTACATGTTCATGAATGGGTGCAGGCCAGCTAGACTGGTCCCTTACCTTACAATTTTCCGGCATCTATAAATTGATCCATTTCATCTTTAGTGGAGTCAGGGAACCAGACTGCTTGAACATTTTTTTTGTTTTTCCTGGTTTTTCTAGCATTTTCGAACAGAAAACTTCAAACTTGTCAGTGTAACAATATTTGATCTATTATACTAACCCCTCAAATAGTTCATTTCTGAAAATTACAGCAAAAGCCAATGATGCACATTCCCTTTAAGCCATCCAATGTCATCTGCTGTACTTTTCACATAGTCAATATTATTACTTCATAAACCAGAGATGGACTTACGCTTCCAAACGCCCTGCTTTGATACAGCCATCCGGTGTACTTGACCTCCACGGAGTCTCCCTCACTGACTGGCTCCCCCATGCCTACTGTCAGGTCCTGCTGGATGACTCCCTTGGTGATGCCCCCGGAAGCATTCAGCTTGGACAAACCCACCTAAGAACACCCAACAGAAAGAAATTCACTGCTGAGGAACAAGATTGGTTCTTTGAGAGATGTACAGGCTAGAAGGAGAAGTCTAAAAGTCAGAAAGATTTTTGCAAACACTTTAACAAAGATGTTTAATTGAAACAAAAAGACTCCAAATCCTTCACAATTGTTTTCAATTAAAAAAAAATCTTCTTTTAGAGCCTGTTAGGTCCTTCAATTAGTCTAATGATTTTTGGCAAAGACTTCTTGCAGTGAGATCTTGAGATGAAACAAAGAGGCCAAAAAAGTTCAAGATATTATAGAGTTCAAATTATTACTTTTGGAAAACCTTATTATTACCACTACAGATTTAGTTATTTTCTTCTGGAAACCACAATAAGAAAACCTTTTGCTGTAAAAGATCTGTCTCACACTTTTTTGGCCATGGGGTGGGGAGGGGAGTAGGCCATCAGCCTGGGGGTTTGGCCAGTATCAAATCAGGGCATGAATGATTATAGTGCGCATGCGCAAGGTATACCGCCCCTAGACTGGTAACAAGCATTTTGAAAAAAAGGGCGATAACACCCAAAAAGCTGCCACCGTTGCAATGCTATCACATATTTTCCAACTCTGGAGGTCTGTACCTTGCCAAAAATTGCTATGACAATTATTCCCCTCATTTGATACCAAAATTTTGGACCAAGGCTGATGGCCTAGAGGGGAATTAGATCATTTGACAGAGAGTCTTACCTGTTTGGCGAAGTCGACAGCATTCTGTTCCGACTCAAACATGATGGACCAGTTCTGCCGCTGCTCATCGTAAAATGTGGCATAGTTGTTGGCTTGTGTCTACATACAAAAAAACAACATCATCTCCAATCATGATCCAAAAAATATAAAGTTGTCAACATACAACTGTTATTACAATGTCTCATTAATAAAAATCTTTAATATTTTCCACTTCCGATTTTAATAATAATTGTGCATACATGTATAGCGCTTTCCATCGTATCAACAATCTCAAAGCGCTTTACAATTATTACCCTGTTCATTAGTCTACGAGACCACGCGGCAGCCGATATCAGCGCTCAATCGGTCCTCGACCCTCACAGGTACCCATTTATACTCCTGGGTGGAGAGAGGCAATTGTAGTTAAGTGTCTTACCCAAGGGCACAAACACCATGTTCCTGGCAGGGTTCGAACCCACGCGCCTTTGTACATGAGTCAAAGACGGTAACCACTGAACCATGGCGTCCTACTAGATATATCCATTCTCTCCCAATGCACAAAACTGTCAAACAATTTGAGATATGCAACGGTCACTCTGACAAACTACGGTGATTGATTCAACTCTTACGTGGGGTAGGAAAAAGAGGGTTTGAAGGTTGATGGTGGGCCTGAGAGTCAAGTACGGTTTATAAAACAAAAGTTGCGGGAGATACTAGGCAGCAAGGAAGTTTTGTATACTCACTGTGAAGATAAAATGCGGTGTGATTCTGGCATGTGTCACCTGCTGCTGCTTGCTGATGTACAGGAGAAGTTTGTACTGGGGAGTTGAAAAGAAATAACAAAAAAATGATGCATAACTCATCTTTTACCAGTTTGACATGATAATACCTTGTCGTTGATTATCGTATGACAGAGGGCGACTGATAAGAAAGCAACTTACATCGTTAGCTGTGTGGTTGCCCAAGATGGCAGCTCCCAGCTTACCATGCTTGATGTATGTGCCATTGGAACTGCAAACAATGAGAGAAAAAGTGAATACTCAATTGCTGTAAAACAATAAAATAAGGTGTGTTTTTGTTCAGGCTATTGTTACACAAAGTAGACTTGAATAAAGTTCATGTGAGTCTAATACTCAAATTTAGGACCCTGGACTATTACATATTTTTCCTCAGGTCTTAAAATAAGTGATAAACATTCCTCTTTGAACAAACTAAACTTTATAGAAGAAATTAACATAATCCTATGAAACCAAAACTTACATGTGGTAACCAATCACTAACACGCGAAGCCTACACTTTTTGAGCTCATTTTTATAGTTTCATATCCATGAACACCAATATTATGTCAAATTGCCAACACCATATTGGAAGGTAACACCACACCTGTAATCTGTGGAGTCATAGTGCACGATTGTGTACATGTACATAAATAATTTCGGTAAGGGGGGAAGGCAAAGGACAGTTTTAACAATTTTTTTTTAAGTGAGTCCCTGAACGGGTGCAGTTAAATGCTATGAGTCATGTCACACTATGCCAGGGCATGGGTCTATGAATAGCCTGGTAAACTGGAAGGATACCAGACGCACGGCTCATTAACAACCTGTAAAGTACCGGTACGCACATGTGTGGGAAGTAGGGAGGGCAAAGCACCGGTTACTTTGCATGATAACCTATGGGGTCTATGAGCCGGTTACCAGTCATAGTGTAACGTCATTAAGGATGTTTAGCCGTCACTGTGGATTTATGGGAAGGTCAACTACAACGTGCATAGCGTTGTGACATCATCAGTCAAGTAACCAACGTCATGAGCGCAGAGTAGATCGCAAACATTCTGAATCTTAAGGGATCCACGGAGAAACTGTTTGGTATTGTAAGTCAAAACAATGAATTCAAGCTACAGGGTGGCCAGACAGAAATGCTGTAGTCAAGTCCATCACAAGTCCCTGCAAGTCCATCACAAGTCCTCCAGTCTCAAGTCAACTCACAGGCTATTCAAATGAGCTTTGACAAAGGCATTCCTTTGTTATTGTTCATCCACTGTTTTTGGATTTTTGATTTTCTCATGACTGGACGTGTGATGGACTGCTGCACTTCCAAGCACAGCAAATACACAATACACTACTTGGTTAAGTCACTGACTATCCTCCATTATACAACACCTGACTAAATCCCCGCCATCTGACTGGTGGATCGTTGATCACATGTCATTGAATTATTTGTCCCAACGCACAGCGCACGCGTGGCGTGCAGCGCACATTGCAATAGAAGTTCTATTGCGCGCTGAATAGCACCATTGCACGGTGTCACTGCTGCTGGTGGTGGCGCTGTTTTAAATCGAGATACATTGAATATGATGGTTCTCAACCTGTTGAACAGTTCGAACTTTTAAACAGTTTTTAACCCGAAGAAATTGGTTATTTAAAGTCAACCAATCAGATGACAAGTATTTATTCAGGTGTTACATAAAACAAATAATGAATGTTTCACGTTCGTGCAATGGACAGAATAATTTCATTCGGTGACAAATGAAATGTTCCATTCCACTCAGCTTCGCCTCGTGGAATGGAACATTTCATCTGTCACCGAATGAAATTATTTTTACCATTGCACTCACAAACATGCAATATTTGTATACTGTCTGCCGATGGGATGTCGTACATGTACACATGCCCAATGAGGCTAGAAAATATTTTCATTTAACAAGCAGTATTACCTCAAGGTAAATACACAACTTTCGTTCTGGCAGAAATATTGGCGCAAACTTACAATCTGTATGCATGGACTGCCACTGCTAGTAACAAGGCCGACTGTCCTCCCCCTGACGAAGATTGGGCCGCCCCCTCTACAAAAAAAAAACATTAATAAAATATATATTAATCCTCCCTCTCTTGCTGGCAATTTCTACAAGGCCAGCCCAGCAGTTAAATAAATCAAGTGATTGGTTTTAACAGTTGAGTGCTCCCTTCCTTCATAAAGCAGGATTGACTGCTACACATGTATGTTTAACTGTAGGAGATTGATAAGCCAGCTGTGCCTACCAGTCACCTTCTTTTGTCTGTTGATGGCATTTGACTGTCACAGTGCTTACAAGAAATATGATCTGACTACTGGTGACTAGCCTGTGTAAAAGGTATGGCAGGGGAACAGGACTGAATTTTGACTGTCTGTGACTGATCAAACAAACAGAGGTTAAAAGAAAAAAAGACATGGGAACTTTTTTTCAAGAGTAATCTGTAATTGTTTCACCTTACAGAAAAATCTTAGTACTTCTGATCGTCAACTGAAACAGGCGAAAGAGAACAAATCCATTTCGAATCAATTTTTACACAAAATCTGCTTTCTGGCAAAAATCTTGAATGCGAATTGAGTACGAGGGACTCATTATTGCACAATGTGTCATCACTAATATACACACCCTGATGGTAAGCCACACACATGCCAACAACTCTGTTACAGGAAATGTCAAGTCTTAATGAGTAAATTCAATTAGACACCCTGTACAATATGCATCCCGTCCCTGGCCCATCTGACAACTAGGACAAAGTTCTTTTCCTGAAACAAAAACAACACCCTACACAATTTATCAACACTTGTTTCATACTGATGTTCCGGAGTTGTTTCAATTCAATAAAGTATGAGAAACATTCAAGCATGAAAATCATCAGTATTATTTGTTTAACATTAACGTACCTGAATCCAACAAAATCCACACCCCCGTTTCGGGAGATTTCGGCAGATTCAGGATACCTCCATATTGCACAACCTGGGGGATTTTGATGGATTCAGGATTGTAAGCCTAGCAGAACTGCAGGATTTTGATGGATTCAGGATACCTCCATATTGAGCAGTTGGGGGACTTTGATGGATTCAGGATCTGAACAGATTTTACTCCCGGCTAACTGGTGGATTATGATGGACTCACTGGCCACCAATTTTTTTTTGCATGGCAAAATTGATGGATTTTGGTGGATTCAGGATACTTTCTGGTAAATATACCCAAGGGGTTAGGGTTAAGGAATGCCAGCATGAAAATCATCAGTATTATTTGTTTAAGGAATGCCAGTCAAGTGTGTGTCAATAAAATTTCATTTCAAATTGATTGCAACGCTTGGGGAGTCGCTTGAACGGAATGGGGGTAGAGGTGTGGGGTAGCATGGAGGGGTGCTGGGTGGGGTTATGGAGGAACTCGGTATTGAGTTTACGGCTCCTTTCTTGGGATGGTTGCTGTATGGGTCAGTGATGCAAAGGGGCGCGTCTGAAAGTGGATGGGGTGGAGGGGAGTTGGTGGGGTGGCAGGGGTCGGAACTGTTGGCATGTTAGTGCACACGTACCTTTTGGTGTTTTGCCTCCTTTCTTGGGTTGCTTGGGTGCTGTGTAAGTCAGAGATTCATTTCCACCCTGATTACTAGCACGGTCCATCCCAAACAAGGAGCTCAGTTTGGATCTAAAGAGAGGAGCGGAAAAACAGAGGATTTACATTGAAATCTGTGAGTCTTTACCAGTCAGATTAAAATATAGGCTTATCTTGTAAGAACAGTGAAACGAACTGCAAATGGGGGAAACATTATATTTATACAGAAATGTGTATTACTCAATCCCACTATGCGTGTACTTACCGTATTGATCATATCAGCTACATTGTATTATAATGACAGGTGGAAGACACCTGCTTCCAATCATATCAGGTCAAATGTTACTAATCTGTGCATACATGTAAAATGTACCTGTACATGTATTCATGTTCACATTGTACAGTATATATTAATGTTGGGTAGTTGAATAAAAAATTTTTAACTCTCCTGTAGTTAGACCATTCAAAACACCTCGAAATCTGGGTGCTGGCAAATTGGAGGAAAAAAATGCTGGACCTTTTAAAATCCAATTTACTGTTACTGCACTACCACACCTTTCAATTCCTTTTGAAAGGTATTGAAAGGCAACTTACTGAATTTGCCCACAGAATTGCTTCACCTTCCGAAACCTTTCAAAAAGTTTCAAAGTTCCAGCACTATTTCACCTTTCAAAACCCTTTTAGTCAGGCAAATTTAAAAGTTTTGAAAGGTCTGATAATTCTCTTTGCCACTGCACTGGGCATAGCAGGGTTTGAAAACCAGTACATTGTATGTGACGATACAAAGTACTCCAGCACATAACAGGTAACATTAGTAAATGTACACTATACATGTACATGGATAACCCTAGGGTTGTACAGGAAGTATTGTGCAGATAGAAATACCGTACCGGTACACGAATATATCATGAGCAATGCAGGATTTTTCACCAGAAAAAATTACTGCAAAACAGTGTTAAAATGGACAGTCTTCTTTCATGAGTATCAATAGGATAAAAAAAAGACTGAAAAAAAACAGAAGTAATCAAAAATCTCCATAATTTACCTAAAAGGTTGCTTCTTGCGATATTTATAATTGGTTCTATAAGTAAAAGGGTTAGGGTCGTCGTCCATGATGCTAACGCGATGCATGGGTGCTATCCCATTCAGTGTGGCGTATCACAGATGATGAAGACAGATTGATTCACGGCCAAGTTCCAGAGCTCTTTCGAGAGACTGAATTCACCATCGGTGTCCTGCCTACATATTTAGCCCCTCCCTTTTGTATAAAATGCTCCTGCTCATCAGACGAGACTTCAGAAGAGTGCTGCAATGGAATCGCTTTCAAGATACGGTGAAGCGACAAGATGACCCATCAGAAGATACAAGTAAATGTATCCATTCCTAAAACATTGCAAGTTAGCTGAACAATGAAAAAGACTATTTTATCCAATGGGTGTTTTTTTTATACAAAAATATCCACTACAGCATCACAACCAGTGCAGAGCATAATGGCGTCTTGGCATCGGAAAACTGGCAGATCTCCACAGAACCGATTCAAGGGTAGAATTCTGTAGCTACGTGTAAGTGGCAAAACAATCCCTTATTGAAACGAAGTTGCGTAGAAAGTCTGAGCCTTGCACTGTTCCTTGAAAATACAAAGGCCCCTAACTGCTCAGAACCGCAGACTTGCAAGAAATCACGAACATAAGGCGACATGTACTTGTACATGAAATTGAATACCAACTTGTGCACCACAAAGTAATTTTATACAGCAAACGAGAACTAACTGTCACTAACTGCACGTTTAAAGTGACTCCTCGTCAACAGGAACCCCAACTCTATTGTGAAGAGTGTCGGAGGAAATTTACGATTTAGCACCGTTAATTATGCAAATTTCTGTAAACGGTGATCAGAAACGATGACGAGCGTGCACTATTGATCATGTGAGCTGATGACACACAACGAGCAGTTTACCTCCAACGCCGGATGCACTGAATTTAAAAGACGCGCACGTGCTGCAGTATTAGGTGGAGTGGATATCAGTTGTTAATAACGATAAATTGGAGGGTTAGTTACAGCTAATTGCAGATTGAAAGTTTGGATATTGGATGAGATTGGGGGGCAATAAAAAACCACAAAGGTGGTCACCAAGCCCAAGGGTCCCAACGCAAAGGTATTAAAATACCCAGTTCTTCTGTTATAATATTTTATTATAATAAAAAAAAAACCATCCTGAAGAATTCTAGATTTCAAAAGGGATTCTTTAAAAAACCTTGACATTAGGAAAAATCCAGACAAAAAAATCTTGAAATCAGGGGGTGGGAATATAAAAAAAAAAAAAAAAAATGAAATCAGGAAATATCCCGACAAAAAATCTTGAAATCAAGCAAAATCCTGAAAAAAACTTGAAAATCAGGAAAATCCTGAAAAAAAATCCTGAAATCTAAAGAAATCCCGACATAAAAATCTTGAAATCAGGAAAAAATCCTGACAAATCTCACCCCTGTTTTAGACTTGAGACCTGCTTCATGGTAAATTGTACGTATACTTGTGTAAGATAGCCAACAGCCTTTAGGCCATCATTGGTAGGAAGTGTTTTTTCCCTTTGGCCTGATTGGCCAAGCTCACAGGTGCATGAATATTTAAATTGACTTGACCTGTAATGAGGTCAACCAAGCAGAATGCTGCTCTGATGCACTGACCTGTCACTTACCTTGAACTGTCATCCAGAGATGATGGCATGATCAAACTACAGCGGACAGCTTAACAACATCATTAAAATTACTTTTACATACATACCAGACACAATTTGTTTGACGCTCAGGATACAAGAAAATAACATCACCTCGAGTTTGGTTTCCAAGTAGATCTTTTCGGGTAACGCTCCATCCTAGGCTTTTTCCCACCAACTACAACGTAGGAGCAACTTCTCAGACCGAAGACAACCTAGTCAAATCTCAACCCACCTACTTCAACAGAAAGGAAACGTTGCCGGCAGCTGACAGCTGACGCGTTCTGACGATTTTTTCCAAGGTGCCGTGGGGTCAAACCTTTCGGGGAAATTAGCAAGCCAAGTTCGTTCTTCCCCTAAAAGTGCCTTCGTCACTTAGTCATTATCTTGAACACAGTCATGTTAAGAGTTTTTTCTGCTTCTTTCAAGCACAAAGCTTTGAGAAAAAGACTTTATCCAACAATAAGCTTCATCACAAAATCTCAAGGAGTCTTCGGAATGACCACAAATCCAATGCTACATTGTAGCTACCGGTAGTACAGCTTGCTTTTAACTTGTCAAAAGTGAAAGTTCCAAAGTTTTTTTATAACGGAAATGCTTTCTAAAACACTCAGCCAAAAAAACAGACTCCTGGGAAAAAGTCACCAGGGCTGTTGTATAATCACTTCTGACCTTCAAACGTTGCCCCCTCCCTCCAAAAACCTCCTTCCCAACTTTCAATTTTAGTTGCAATACACTGACTCATACCCATGAAGGCAGGTTCCGCCAGGACGTCGGTTGGGCATTTGGGGGGGGGGGGGGCCCTGTCGGAAGAGATGTTGAACTGATCAAGTTTATTTTTCTTTTGGAGAACGGTTTGAATACAACCTGACATGTACGGCCTGTGTGATTAACATTTGACAACTCCCTTCTCCAGGTTAACTTGGAATACATGTATAACCATTTAAAATACACAATGTAAACAATTAACATTACTGTCACTAACAGACTTACTATAAGCACAAAGGTCATAGAAGTTGAGGTTTCTTAACCATGTTATTTTAAAGCTAAAGTCAAGTTTACACTTGACACAAAAAACCTAAAATTCATGATTATGATTATAATAATATTACATTGAGTGGTGAATGCATATTGCAGGTCCAGCATATAACTACATGTAATAATGTGATGTTTAAAATGTCTAGCTCTTTGTGCCGATGTCTAAGACTCTCAAACAGGCATGAAACTGGGAATTTAGAAAAAACGAGGAAATTCCAAACAACACAAGACTTTGTACAGTGTTTTTCAATTTGTAATGGCATTCATGAGAAGTAAAAAAACGAGGAAATCAGCGGATCCGACGAAAAGTTGCATGCCTGTCAAAGCACTGCAGAATTATTATCCCAGTAGTTATTATCCCTGTAATTACTATCCCTGTACATAAAGCTTAGAGACCACTTTTCTGCAGCAGCTCGAGATCAGTGCAATCTGGTCTCTACCCTCACAGGTACCCTTTTATACTCCTGGGTGGAGAGAGACAATTGTAGTAAAGTGTCTTGCTTAAGAACACAAGCATCAGTGCAATCTGGTCTCTACCCTCACAGGTACCCATTTATACTCCATGGAGAGAAGCAATTATAGTAAAATGTTTTGCCCAAGGACACGCACATGTACATGTACCAATGAGTCGGACAATGTAACCATCAGACCACGGTAGACCAGGGAGGGTGCAATTCTTTGCAAGTATGTCACAAGTAAATATAACATAATGGCCTTTACCACACTGCTGCAGTCCCCTGAAAAGTTTAAGTTTTGCTGTCTGCAGCGAACGCATTCAGCGCAACGAGTCGCTGAAGTATAACATGACTCACAGGAAACCTACAAAAGGCAACCACATAGCCTGGCTCAAGATGGCAATCAATCCGTCACATAGGAAGACCCATGAAACGAATGGCATGAAGAAAAAGCCAGGCTACGGTACCTCAGACCAAGACCCTTTTCAACAGGTACACCGTGCTCCACTTCCCCAAGACCCCATCCCTTATATTTTTGGAAGGAGAAGGGGCTGGGTAAATGGGTAGGGTAAGAAATAGTGCTACAGGAGTTGGGTAGGAGACATAGAGCTATATTAAATTACTAGAGCGCTAACTTCGTGTACAAAGTAATGCCTGCTGGGTGCATCCATGTTTGTGCACAAACCTATGGAGACCTACAAATTTTGTACGGCTTTTGTACGGCTATTTGCATCTGCGTTTGTATTCCAAACCGGTGCGTTATCGAAGACGATACGCCCAAAACCGAAACGCACGATCAGCAAATGAGCGTGTCATTTTGCTCTACGCAAACAGCGCAACGTATGTGCGTATTCGCTGCAGATGCTTTTTGCCTACACGTTTTTGAACCGTCAATGACGCGCTTTTTTCAAGGGATTTTTCTTGGGGCTAGTAACAAAACAAAAAAACATTGAAGAAGTTGAAATGTTCATTGAATTTTTTTTTGTATTATTATCTCTGGAAGCAGCCACACAGGAATTTTCTAAGCATCCATAACATAACTCAAAATAATGTATAATCAGAAACAAGTCATACATACAGTATTAAAGGTTTGTTATCCTGGGCAAAACAAAATTTCCCACTTATAAATGTATCACTTCGATTTGAATGCCCCCATTTACGTACACATTACGTAGATGTAAAAAATATTCATGCTTCCTGACGTACAGACCAAAATATCATGCTAACCTAAAAGTGTGCCAAACGTTGATTCACTAATCTGGTCATCCTGTACTAGGGTTCTGTCGCCAAAATATCAACACTGCCCCCCCCCCCAAAAAAAATTGTTTTCCAAAAGATTTGTTTAACAATTTGCGTCATACAAAATGAAGGAGATTAACTCCAGCAAGCTTTCAAATCTACAAATTTGTTAGGAAAGTGTGCGCGCTATTTGGATGGGATTTTGGAAGCCTGTATTGTAGTGTAACAAATCAAAAACAAAATCCCTCCAATTCCATTTTTTTAATATATATTTCTCCTTCTCTGGATGGCAATTTCAACAAGGCCAGGCAGAAGTCAAAATATATCAGGTGACTGTTTTTAACTCTTGAGTGCTCCCTGACTTCATAAAGCAGGATTGACTGGCTGTTATTGCTATGAAAACTGATACACTGGTAGCTTTGACTGTAGGAGATTGATAAGCCAGCTGTGGCCACCAGTCACCTGCTTTTGTCTGACATTGATGGAATTGGACTGTCACAGTGCATACGAGAAATACCAAATGACTGCTGGTGACTAGCCTGTATAAAAGGCATGGCAGGGGAACAGGATTGAATTTGTGAGTGCCTGTGACTGATCAAACTAAAGGAGGGTTTTAATAAAAAAATCTCAAGGAGGCGGGGGGTCTCAAAATGTGAGAGCCAAAGATGTACAAGAAGTCCAAAGTATGTGATACCAATACATTGGTCTTACTTGTTTATGGATTGCATGTAAGCACACATGTACATAGCTGTTTAACGCATTCACAGTTGAGCCCTTGGTAAAAATACTGATATCGGACAGCAGTTGAGTCAAGTTGAGTTACTTAATCCAGCAACTTCTTAATTTTATGACAGTGAGAGCATACTGACAGTATATGTTGCGTACAGCTGTCCGGTGGCCCATTTGTCACAGTCACAAAGTAGTCGCTTCATCTATAGGGCTATACATGTACATGTACCTCATCTTCTGACGGTTTGCAAACGGTCCTCAGTGGAAGCTCTGGGGGAGGGGGTCTTAGAGAGTTTCAACCCCACCCCCCTCCCCCCACTTTGTGCCACATAAAAATATAAGAAAATCATGCAGAAAAAAGTAACACATGCCTGCTCCTGCCCCCTAGACAGCTACCTTTTGTACATGTACCTCCCCCCTTCCTTGAGCCAAAGCTGGCTCCGCCCAAGCTACTACTTTCTGTGCTAAATCTACCAAAATGTTTAGAGGGAGTTTTGTGGTTACATTTGTTAAACAATATGCACACTACCTTGTAAAAAGTCCTATTTAACAATGGGAGCACATTGCAAGTTTGCACAC